CCCTCCACAGCAGATCATCCAGCCACGTCGTTGCCATCGAGGATTTCACCACCTAGTCCTCTTTCCCTTATTTATTATTATTATTTTTTTTTTTCAAAAGACAACGTCACAGCCAATCCAGAGATGTATATTCCCATTTTTGTGGAGAGCAAACGCGTGCCACTATGACCAAATGACCCCGGATCAGTACCATTAAACAAAGCCCAACAGAAAGTGGTCAATTAAACCTCGCTCCTTTCATGAGAGTCCCCGATGCTGCGCCACCACATCACCAGCCTCCTGTGGCTTAAACTTGACTTATTATTAGTCTCTTGACCTCAAATTACTTTTATTGGCTCGAAATTTAATGCTGGCACGCATCTTGTGCATCATCGTGATCCTGCCTTTTTGGTGTTTAGGGTTGTAGGCACATGCCACCCACCATGCAATGCATTGTGAAACAGCGACGCAGGAAAAAGTATCGCCCATTGGTCAAGGCAAACCACCACAAGGATTCTCGATATCGCATGTCTGGTGGAACAGGTACTGCGCACGCGTGAGGTTGTGATTGAACTTGCGCACTCACGAGGGCCAAATTGGGTATATGGTGTATAGACATGTCCGATTCATTTCCCAGCATCGGGGTAGGCGCAATCACTTCGTCAGTGTTGCACCAATTAACTTTTCGCAGATAGTTGAAGAGGACAAGGCACCTGCACGACTAGACTGCTACCTGCACGCTGCTGTTGTCTTGAATACAACCAGGCAATCCCCATTCTTTAGTGTTCCTTCAAGTGGTTCCTTTGAGATAAGGATATCGGGGAGGACAGGAAGTGGACCAAAGAAACTCCGACTTCGTCTTCTCTCGTGATCTCACCCTCTTTATTCAGGACTCTAGGCGTCTAATTAAGCAATGCTACGGGTATGCTCTTGCAACTTTTACAGACTTTTGTGTACATAACGCTCTAATACAGACACCTCAGACAAGGGGGTGGCTTGACATTGTGGCTCCTGGACCATTGAACCTCAGATTGTGCCTGAATTTGGGAGTCAGGTCGTGTATCGTAGAGAGCCCTAGAAGAAAAAAAATGGGCAGACGATGGTACAGATGTCGGGATGCCACATTGTGAACGGTATCAAGACTGAGATTGGTAGTTATAAAAATAAATAGTGTATAGCTGGCAGGCAATTGTATAAACACACTGTGAATGTATTAGCGAGAGAAAAAGGTAACTATCTAACAAGTTATTGAGAATGATTTAACTCGTGTAAGAATAATAGCTAAGGATTTACCAGGTATCACAATTAAGTATCATCTTTAATCGGGTATCTTATACTTTAATCTCATCTGAAAATTGTTTATTCAAAAGCGCTATACGTAACGGGCTAAAACATATCAGAGTGTACTAGGTTTAAGAATTGACCTAACACAGAAGAGCACTATTAGGACTTTGACACTTGAACTGGGACTTCTAAGATTTGACAGGGTAGAGTGAATTGATTGATATAGTACTCCGTATTCGAGTACTAAAAAAATAGCCAAAGAGAAACAAATGTCGGTCATGCCCCATGCCCTCCACCCCTTTACTTCACTAAATCATCCTTCTGCAAAGTCCCCAGGCAATGCCAGTATCCGAATCGATCGCCATATCCTCCGCTGCCAAAAACTTCCTCCAAGAGTCTCGAGTAATAACAGGATCCGACTTGATTGCCCGTATCCTCCACGTCTGTCCTTTGCCAAATCATCTTCCTCCAAGCGTCTCAAGCCGTGACGGTATCCGAATTGATCTTGCATGTCCTCCACGTCTGTCCTTTGCCGAATCATCCTTCTTCAAGAGTCCCAAAACAATAACGATTCCTGACTTGAATTCATGATTGCAAAGACCTCGAAGCTAAAAGAACAGCCGTCTCGGGGTAATAACGAACGGTAATCTCAAAAGCCATACCCAAATATCCTTGCCGAATCACCAGGGCCCCCAAAGGCACTAGTCGTCATCACTATCGGGTGCCTCCCTGGCGGTCGTTAAAAGTTCGTTGAGTTCTTCCCTTCGGTTGATCAATTCATCAAGTTCTTTCTCCAATTCATCACACCCATCTTGAGCCATATTTTGGGCCCAGGCACATCGCGGTATCATCCGATTGTATGCCTCCAATAGCCCATCGTATTTTATCATTTGACCCTCGATTTCATTTATTTTTTCATGGTATTTCCTCCACTCTGTGGTATCTGGCCACAGTCCGCCATTTGCTCTGCAAAGCTCATATGCTTTGATCTGCTCACTTTCTTTCTTCTGCTCCTCTTCTAGGAGTTTCTTATATGCTATGCAACACTCCTTTTCGCAGCGTGCCAGATCAACCTCTTTATGTATTTTTTTGGCAACTGCCTGGGCTCTTTTTTGCCTAGCGATCATGATATCCTCCTGTATATATTCCCTCTCCTGGTTTAGTTTGCGGGCCGTTTTGTCTTCATCTTTTTGTGCCATGGAGGACCAAAATTGCCAGAAGGTGTTTCAAGTATAAAAAAGATATGCTCGGCCTTGAGACTCGTAGTTTGCGTCTTGTTTGTGATATTCCGGAAATTTCTGAAATTCCGAGGTGTGTATGGTGCGAATGTTTGAGGCACGAGCCTGGTGTTGGACGAGGGTTTGATGTTTTCTTCCCCCAGAATGCCTGAAGTTTCGAGATAGGTTTTTGGTGCAAGTGTTTGAAGTGACGGCTTGGTGTTGGACGAGCTTTGACGTTTATCCAAGTTTCTGAAGTTCTGAGCCGCGTGTATGGCGTAAGATGCGTGAGGGAATAGCTTGATGTTGGACGAGCCTTTAAAGTGGCTGGAGTTTTGAGGCGTGTATATGGTGTAAGATGCGTGAGGTAGTAGCTCAGTCTTGGAGGAGATGGTTGCCCGTGAGGAATATCTAGGAGAGACATCCTCGGGGAAGAAGGGCGCCTTATATGGACCAAATCCATGGCGTTGTGCAGTTTGAGCTTCTGTGAACAGTTCTGATGGTAGGCTGTGTTGAATGCTGGCTCTGTATTACTAGGTGTGTTCCAAATGCTTGCGATCGATGTGGAGGAGCTTACTGCCTCAGGAAATATTCGCAAGCATATGCAAAGATGTTGAGATGTGACCAAGGCTGGTGATGGTCTACAGAGTATGAGCTTGTTCAGACGTTGACCAGAGAATCGACTCGTAAGCCTGTCTCGGCATGAAATGATGCTCATGGCATTACACGTCGCACGCCGTGGATGGATGCTAGAAACCGTCCAATGGAATGATGGAAACCAAAAGGGCTATTTTGGTCGCGGCCAGCAGGATGCCGGGACAGAAGAGCATATCTAGAACGCGATCAGAACAGACGGCGATCAAGCGCCTGTTGGCAATGTCGATGCCCACTGAATCAAATTTGTGCTACAATAAGCCGAATAGGAACGGGGCCTAGAACTGGAAAGCAATTTAAACGTGCAGCGATGAGCCGGAGCATTTGCGTGAGCCACCACTCCAAGTTGCACGACAGGATGCACGCCTTACAGTACATCATGTTGCGTTACAAACGCTGCATTGCGTCATATTCAACAAAAGGTGGCCAGTCTGAAGACGACCCGTACATATGGAACCTGCTTGAACACTGATGACACAACGTGTCCGGCTGCGCAGGCCGAGTCTGCCTGCTTCATACAGTGCAGCGGACAGGTCAGAATAACCTGCTCTGAAATGAGTAGCGAGGAGTTATTTGTATTCACTAGAAAAGGCATGAAAATTTCTGTCCGACCTCATGTACGGTTGCGGCTCTCCCAACGTGCCGGTATGCTTGGGAGACAGAATGACATGTCGCAGAACACACGCATTCGAAGAATACCAGACACAATGCGTTTCATGCATTGTTCATGTGGTGCACAGCAAGCTCCTTTGGAAAGCTCTGATGCTGAGGCAGACATGATCCTGCTGGCACATTTGCACAGATGATGTTTTTGTTTGCTCATTATACAACGCTTAATTTAAGCTTGTGCTGCCACACCGGCCTAGGATCAAGGCCAATTCAACAAGTGCAACCTGACATGCATTCTCGCTGATTTGGCGCTGCAGCGGAACGCGGAGAATGCCAGTGAATTCAAGGTTGCCACACGGTTGGGTGAGAACAAAGGGCGCTGGACCAACAACGGTCACAGAACAACAAAGGAGGTATCACCAGATCCGGCCTGGGGCCTTGGGCCAGGGCTGTCCCAGGCTTTCAAAGTTTTTAATTTCTCGCATTCATAGAGATCTCGGGTCCCCTCGCGGCCTCTTGGAAAACCAAGGACCTTTGATACCTCAAAGTTGATTACTAAAGATTGATCTTTATCAATATATCATACCTAGACTGGGCTCTTTGAATCAAGCGGACGGTCCTCATCTTGTGCTGCGAGACACCCAACGGTACTACCAGCTACCTCTGAATGCTCATGCCTACATGTTACACGGTTGGGACTCAACAAAATCCCGACATTGTCACACGAAGCGATCACAGACCAGCTAGAAGCCTCAGGCACCTCTGTTTCTTTCATATATAATCTAGTCCCTTCCGTCCTTGCATTTAGAGGGAGACAAAGACCCTTGGACACCACACGGGATTATCGAGATGATCTTTGAATTGAGTTGTTACCCCCTCAAGCCCTAGAACCTGCCCTTGTCACACTCAATCCTCACAATACCGATCACCAAAGAGAATTACTCACTGACTGCATCTCTGAGAATTTTGGCCGAATAGGCCTGGCACCTTGCCGTCGTATTTCGTGTATGCTGTCCAGTTCACGTTGCTGAGGCAGGCCGGATGACTCACTCTCGCGTTGCACCCCCCGTCAGACCAACTACCAGCATGCCAACATGTCGTACTCTGTATCCTCGAGCGCATGGAAATATCGACTACAAAGTTAAACGGGCTACAAAATTTCATCTCTTCCCACCGTGAATCTTCTACACCCCCAGGCTTTACGTGCCCGAGTTTACATCCACCTATCCATCAATCGTCATGGGTAATCAGCCAGACATGATGCCACGGCCGCAAACGCCACCTCATCAACCCAACGCAGGAGTAACCATGTCGCGCGAGGAAATGGAAGCCATTGTGCACTCTGCATTTCCTCAATCCGAGCTGACCCATGTCTCGGCCGTCTCGACAAGCGACTCGTTCAACAACCGCATCTACTTCCTCAGTGTACAGCAGGCGGACAACACAACAGACGAGGTCGTCTTGAAGCTCAACGGCCGATATTTCGGGCCAGCCAAAGTCCAAAACGAAGTCGCCTGTCTGCAGCAAGTAGAAAAACACTGTCCCGAAACCCCGTCTCCCCGCGTCCTCGCCTGGTCCGAGGATGGCCAAGCGGCCACATTCACAACCCCCTATACAAGTCAAACCGACGACATAAGACCAGCGCGGCAAAATCACACCCACAACCACGGCGGATGGATAATGACAACAAAACTGCCCGGTGCCGCCGTGCCCGTGTCCGATTTAGACAACCACTCGTGCCGACACCTAGGCCGTCAAATGGCCGACATGGTCGCCGACTGGCGACACAATATCCCCGCCCAGTCACGCTGCGGCAACCTCAAACTTTGCCGCGACGGCAAAGACAGCCCCATCATCCAGGGCATCGTCATGGACGGCCTCGAGCCGCCGGCGCCGCTGCCCACAGTAAACGCATACCAAAGCGCCCGGCTGGCCCACAAGATGAGAGAGCTCGCCACGACGGACACGTACGCCCCCAACAGGCACCTCCTGCCGCTTCTGCAAGACTTCATCGACAACCACCTCCCGGACATGACGCTGGTGCCGCCGGCGACGCAGTCCCCCCTCTTTGTCTTTACGCACTACGACCTGGCGCCGCGCAATGTGCTGGTGTCGGGCTGGCCGCCGCACATCACGGGCATTGTCGACTTTGAATTCGCGGGCTTCTTCCACCCGATGGAGGAGTTTGTAAACGACTGCGTCGACGGCAGGGCCGACTGGCCGGCGTTGCTGTACGCGGCGTACCAGGAGCGGCTGGAGGAGCGGGGGGTCGCGACGCCAGCCGGGTCCGTGGACCGGGAGGTCTGGAACAGGAACTATTGGCTGGAGATGGTGGTGAGTTACGTGGCGCCGTGGTGGCTGCCGGGGGAATATATGGGTCAGGGGCTGCGGGATGAGTTGAGGAGGGCCGGGGCCGTCGTGCTGGATGCCTTGGAGAAGGTGTTGAGGAGGCCGGGAGAGCAGATGCCTGTTCCGGCGTACGGGGACGGGGCTGGGGACTTGGGCGTTGAAGATTGATGGATTCGTGGTTGTGCGTGGGATAGAGTCGCATAAGGGAATATACTATATACCATGCTTACATACTGGCCCTGGCAGTTTGGTTTCAATGTTGCTAAAAAGAGCGTCAGTTCCTTATGTCTTTGATACCAACACCCACAAAAGAGGCATGTACTTGAATGTAAAGCAGGTTTGGCCCCAAGGCCCTCCCATGTCGTCAATTTTATACTCAAAGTCCGGCGGAACGTTGGCTACATCGCAAGTCAGCTGTATTCCTCGACACACCGACAGATGTATAAGTATGGAGTAGGTCCTTGGCGGGATATGAGCGACTATATCGTGCATTCTGCGCTAGACATTTCAACAAGGCATTCTAGGGCTTAAAGTACATATCGTTACTTCAGGCTGCCAGCTAGAAATGTGGACTAATGGAACAGTCTAGTTAAAACTATCAGAAAAGAAAAGATAAAATCATGTGGTTATCTTGTATAAGACAGCAACCCTTATCTTAGAGTGAAATATTAAGTACACTACCGGAATCTTAAGAGTCTAAGGCAAATAGCATAAAATAAGAGAAGCTAAGCAAGCTAAGTCCATATAACGCTCAGTTCTCGGCCGAACCTAAGAAAGCAGATATATACATAATAATCTCTGCCTCACTAATCCCCGCCTGTTCTGGCGTTATGCCTAAAACTGGTTATATTAACCGGTATACACAACCTTAAGTTCTACCCTGCTAATATAGGCACTAGGCCCTTTGTTACCGAGTTTATTAGGTTTATTAATAAATTTAGCCCTAATTATATAGTCTGAATACTACTCTGAGATTATAAACTTGACCTTATTGGCCGCGCTATACAGAACATCCCACTTAATTTTATAAACTTTACGGCTAGAACTATTATAAATATAAAGGGAGCTGTTGGTTCCTGTGGGAGATAATTCTCTGCTGTAAGCGGCGATATTAGCTATTTTAGCCGAGGTAATCTTTAGCTTATTAACCTTATACGCTTTTATCTTATTCTTCTTATTATTGTAATAGTAAAATTTACCCCTATTAGACACGATTAGTAAAACGCTCTTATTATATAAAGCTATAGTCCTGATATACTGCTTAGTGTTAGCTTGGCGGATTTAAAGTTTAATATCCACGCTCTTATTATACACTTACATGTATACCTAGTTCTAGTCTCCTAGAATCTCGGCCATGGTGAATAATGTGCTTTAAGAAAGATGTTTTAAATGTTTAATGGATTAATAGGCTTCTGGAGGGTGGGATGGAAATGACCTGTTGAGCAGAGGAAACGCCAGGCCTTTAAATACCCAGTCTCTAGCCGGTGAAGCTGGTCTTCTGCTTGATGACGGGATTCCTGTAGATTGGGCACCCATCACGACCCTCTATTGCCTGATGCGACTCTGGAGACTTGTCTCACAACCCCGCATCCGCGGCAGATGTCTGGAAATAGTGTCCGGCCAACCTTGGCGGTTCTAGAGGTATGAGGCGCGTGGTGATGTGGAAAGCGTCAACTGCATATACCGGTGTGACGGCGGACCGTTGGGCTCATCCTACCAGCGGCAGTGAATGGGAAGACCAGACACGACTCAGTTGGACACGGCCCAACCAGACACGGCACGCAATGGTTTCCATGGCCAAGTCGCAGCAAAGCACAAAATGTGGCCTGCGTCGAACACTTTGTTTCATTGCTCAAGACCAAAAGCCGACTTTGGCCGCCCTCAAATTCTGCACGTTTGACGTGTATGCGCCTCATATAGTCCCGTCGTTTTCTTGCGTCGGGTCTCGCTAGCCTTTCTAGTTTGTTTGTCTTCCGCATAATCCAGGCCAAGCTATCATGCGACCAAGTCTATTAGGAGCTGCGTGCATATCGCTGCATCCGTCCTTCCCAGGGCCCTCGCTCAAGCATACCGTGGCGGAACCCGCATGCCGGGGAAAATCCGGGCCCTTTTGTGCCACTGCGACCCCGAACCGCTGAAAGACTGGTCAATACATACTTGAATCTATTGCCATCTGCTACATGCGTCACACACCGAAGAGTGTGCATGTTCTCCTAGCCAACTTGTTTGCCGGTGTAAAACACTACTGCGTTGGACAACCAAAAAGTTCCAACAATGGATTCATCTGCACGTCACACCGGTGAAACATTTGATAATGCCCTACATATCCAGTAATTTTATACGAGCTCTTTTACTTGCAGTATATTCTGCCGGCTTTGGAGGACTTGCTAGCGGTCATCCATGTAAGAAAATAAGTGTCTCTCACTTTATCTAAGCTGTCTGGTACCATATAATCGTGCTCTGTAACATACACGGCCGTTGTATCGGCAGCAAAATGCGAGGTATGCGAGTAGGAAAACCCCCCTTTAACGAGGCCACGTGATGAGACATTTTGTGTGCGGTGATGCTGCATGTTTGAACGGTTTGGTGTGCTTAAATGCCGCATAGGCAATAGGAGTGCGTCGCATCTGAAGACTTACTACCGTGTTCAAGACCGGCGCTTTCGACGCTGACTGGGTCGAGTAATGGCTCAAAGGTTCTCCTAGCAAAAGGCGGTGTATGTGTTTAAGACACCGTGAGAGATTTCCCAAACATGACGAATAGACTCACTGCCCGTAGAGGCAGGTGGCTGGCTGAAGTTGCTGTGTATCCGAACATGCCGTGAAAGTGGCTGGCTGAGCATTTTTGCTATGAACATGTTCAGATTAGCCTACTAGGTCATAGGAATAGGCTGCTTTGGGTGGTAGGGATGACCTTCCTCCTCGCATCAATTGCATGTCCCGGGCCTTGGATATTAATTTTATAATTAATAATAATTAAGGTTTGATTGTTTCGCTCAGTAAACAAATAAAATTACACGCATGATACAAGTATCGTGCAAGCGTAACATCTAAAACAGTATTGGGCTGTACCAGGCCAAATAATAATTAATAATAATTATTATTGTTATTAATATATATAGTAAATTATTTTTATTTTATTTTTATATATTTAACTTGCCTTGTTCTAATACCTATTACCGCTTCGCTTCCTACAACTAAACAGCCAGGCGTCTTTATCATCGTGGACGAGCACGGCGCCGCGGTCGACCGAGTGGCACGCCACCTGCTCCGTGGGAATAAAGCACCAAAAGGGGTCGCAGGGCACAATCCGGTTCTGGTCGGGGAACGTGACGGCCATGGTGTTGAGGATGCACTCGGCGCCGACGTCGCGAAAGGTCCGTGTCACGGCGTCCCGCGTCGGCCGGTCGGAGCGCTTGTTGGTCATGTTCGATTTGGACCCTGTTGAAGCTGTGGCCGCGCTGCGTCCCCTGCGCATGTTGCTGCTCATCGAACACTCTGGGACGTGCGGTAGTGGGACGAAATAATGTGCCACCACAGGTGGGTAGTTGTATGTTGTCCATATAACTTGCATGATTTGGACACTTGGAGCTAGGCGCACGAGGACTGGAAATGGCGGTTGGTCATGTTGCACCAGAACATGGGCGCGCCACGCCGCATATCTTTGATGTGTTGGTACCCTCTGTATACTTGGACAGGTGAGAATGAATTTGTCACGTCTGCCATTTTTTGGTAACTAGATGAATTACGTCTTGATAATCAATTTCATTAAATACGACGGAGTAAGAGTTGCAGGGTAATATGGCTCTGTTGGGTCGCCCAACGAACCAATCGCCTTACCATCGCAGTTGACTATCTATTAATGGGCCATGTCAAATAAAATGATGGAAAAAAAAAGAAATACAACGCACCTGGCAAGCATAAACACAGACCTCGGCCCTGGCTCGTATTTCCGATACTCTACTGGGAAATGGCCGACTTGATGGATAAGACTGGTGTTGATTTCCATGGACTTTGGCTTACACGCGTCGGAGGCTTTCAAGTCGGCAATATGAGCAAGACGTCTTTGCTATTCCCGACTCCTGATTTGCCGAAAAAAAGTATTAGTGGCGACTATGGTAAATGGCCATCCGCAAGGGTGCTCGAACGAGGCTAGTTGACAAGCCTGCGCCTCAAAGCCGGGCGAATTGGCTCATCTGCCCTTATCGTGACGTCACCCCGGGTGCAATTCCCGCGGCATTTCCAGGCCAATCCTAGCCGGGCAACCAGGGAGCCGGCCAGCAGCCGAACCAATGCTGGCCACTCGCGCCAAAAGGGGGCACGCCGTCGGAGACACAAGTCACACAACAGGTAGCTCAACTGCCGGCGTCTTCCGGCGTCGGATCCGGTTTGCCGATCGTCGGCCCGGCTTCGCCCAGTCCATCGGCCATTTAAATACGCAGGCGGCGCGCCTCGACCACTCCTGCGCGAGCGGTCCAAAGCACAAGCCTATTCCGCACCTTTCCACGCCCCGGCCATGTCGGACAAGGAGAAGCACGACCCGGACCCGCCGCCGCCGCCGCCGCCCGCCGCCGACAACGACGTCGACTCGGCGGCCGACAGCGGCGACGACGACGAAGCCAAGTCGGAAGACCTCGACGGCCACCGGCCCACGCTGCGCGAAATCCGGTCCAACACGTCGGGCGCCACGGCGACGGGCAGCCTCGCCCGCCGCGACACGGTGCTCTCGCGGATACGCTCGCGGCCGGCGCCGACCTTCACGCACCCCCTCGCCCACGTGCGCACGAGCGAGGCCGAGCTCGTGGGCTTCGAGGGCCCCGACGACCCGTACCACCCGCTCAACTGGGCGACGCACAGGAAGGCGTCGACGACGCTGCTGTACGGGCTCGTGACCATGACGGCGACGTGGGCGTCGTCGGCGTACTCGGCGGGCACGGGGCAGATTGCGCGCGAGTTCGGCGTGGGCACGCAGGTGGCGACGCTGGGCACGACGCTGTACCTGTTTGGCTTCGGGCTCGGGCCGCTGCTGTGGGCGCCGCTCAGCGAGGTGTACGGGCGCCGCGCCGCCGTCCTGGCGCCCATGTTTGTCGCCGTGTGCTTCAGCTTCGGCAGCGCCGCGGCCAAGGACCTGCAGACGCTGATGCTGACGCGCTTCTTTGGCGCGTTTTTCGCCTCGGCGCCCGTCACCAACACGGGCGGCGTGCTGGGGGACCTGTACACGCCGGCGTGGAGGGGGATCGCCATGGCGGGCTATGCCATGGCCGTCGTGGGCGGTCCGGTGCTGGGTATGTGAGGCATCATTGAAGACCAGACTCTATATAAAGGTACTCGACATGCTGACCCCCGCAGGACCCATCGTCTCGGCCGCCGTCGTCGAGCAGCCGTCCCTCGGCTGGCGCTGGACCGAGTACCTCACGGGCATCCTCCAGGTGGTGGTGCTCGGCGCGGCGCTCGTCTTCATCGACGAGAGCTACCCGCCCAAGCTGCTCGTCTACAAGGCGCGGCGGCTGCGGCACGACACGGGCAACTGGGCGCTGCACGCGCAGTTCGAGGAATGGGACGTGGGCGTGGGCGAGCTGGCGCGCAAGTTCCTCCTGCGGCCGCTGCAGCTCCTCTGCACGCCCATCTGCTTCCTGATGGCGCTCTACGCCAGCTTCTGCTACGGCATCCTGTACATGCAGCTGGGGGCCATCCCCATCGTCTTCGGCGAGCTGCGCGGGTGGCGGCCGCTCGTGGCGACGCTGCCGTTCCTAAGCATCCTCGCCGGCGCCGCGCTCGGCTGCGGCCTCAACGTGTACAACCAGACGCTGTACAACCGCGCCTACCACGCCGCCGGCGACCGCGCCGTGCCCGAGAAGCGCCTGCCGCCCATGATGCTGGGCTCGCTGCTCTTCAGCGCCGGCCAGTTCCTGCTCGGCTGGACCGCGCGCCCGTCCGTCCCCTGGATCGCGCCCTGCCTCGGCCTCGCCATGCTCGGCGCCGGCTTCTTCACCATCTTCCAGGCCGCGCTCAACTACCTCGTCGACACGTTCCAGGCCCACGCCGCCTCGGCCGTCGCCGCAAACACCTTTCTGCGCTCGTGCTTTGCCGGCGCCTTCCCGCTCGTCGTCGGCCCGCTGTACCACAACCTCGGCGTCGGCCCGGGGTCCAGCATCACCGCCGGGTTCGCGGCCCTGCTGATCCCCGTGCCCTTTGTGTTTTACCGGTACGGCCGCCGCGTGCGCGCCAAGTCCAAGTGGTCTCGGAAATCCGTCTTTTGAGCAAGCAAGCTCCTCTTGATAGTAATGATGATGAATACGTCCACGTCTTGCATGCTCTTATTGTCTACGTGTGGAGGCTGGTGCGGACCCTGGCCTGCGTTTTGTTTGCTCGCATGCCATTACACTTTGTAGTCGACAACATGAGTTACATGACTAGTATCGTCGAGACGTCATCTTATCCGGGCACCGGCTGACAACGCACCTCACTGTAACTCCAGGATCTGACAAATGCGCTTTCGTTTGACTGCCGACAAACTCTCGCAGCTCAGTCCATCCCGTGGTCCAACTCTACTCTCCTTGCTTTGCGGCTCCAACTTGCGCGCAACTGGCTGTTCGCTATCGTCAGAGATCCGAAGACCGAGTGGCTGAACAAAATATGTGGTTCTGCCGCCGTGAAACTAGTCGATCAATGCTACATCAGCCAGCAGCGTGCATAAAGCGCGAGCAGCGAGGATCCACAATTCGATCTGGAACAAACTCGCCAAGCTTGTCAACGGGCATCGTCAGTGGGAACAGAGGCTGATTAATTCGTGTGTAATCAAATCCAACCTCGACGCCGTCGGGTCGTCGCAGGCGGCAGAATCTCGCGGAGGAGTTGCCTTCCGACCAGGCATCGAGACGTGCGTGTCTGCACAACGCCTTACAGATTGGGGATTCTGCATGCGGAGTCGTCTTGAGGAAAAGTATAAAATATGGGCAAAGACGGCCGACATAACTCGTATACCTTCCCACGCAGTACAACCATTGACCCCTCATCTTAACCGACCTTGTAACAATTCAGACGACAACACTCTCATAGTAGCTCTCAAACCCATCGAGACTTTCATCTCCAACAAAACAAAACTCATTCAAAATGTCCAAAATCTTCACTGTCTTCGGCGCCACCGGCAACCAGGGCGGCTCCGTCATCAGAGCCGTCCTCGCAGACCCCGTCCTCTCCAAGGAATACAAACTCCGCGGCGTCACGCGCGACGTCAGCAAGCCGGCCGCGCAGGCCCTGACGGCCAAGGGCGTCGAAATGGTCAAGGTACGCCTCAAGAAACACAAGTCCCCATGCCCACGGGCAGCTAACCCGCTCCCCAGGCCGACATGTCGTCCCCCGAGGCCGCCGCGCCCGCCGTGCAAGGCGCCCACTCCGTCTTCATGGTGACCAACTTCTGGGAGAGCATGTCGGACAAGATCGAAATCGCGCAGGGCAAGGCCGTCACCGACGCCTCCAAGGCCGCCGGCGTCAAGCACCTCATCTTCTCGTCCCTCATCAACGTCACCGACGCCAGCAACGGCCGCCTCGCCCACGTCACCCACTTTGACGGCAAGGCCAAGATCGAGCAGTACATCCGCGGCAGCGGCCTGCAGTCGACCTTTGTCCAGCCGGGCCTCTTTATGAGCGGCTTCTTCGGCTTCATCCGGAAGCAGGACGACGGCAGCCTGGCCTGGGCCATGCCCGAGGGCGTCAAGGCCGACCAGGCGCAGATTCCGCTGTTTGACGCGGCCGCCGACACGGGTGAGTAGACGGTGTGCCTTGAAAAAAAAGAGTAAAAATTGTGTCTGATCCGTGTAATAGGCATCTTTGTCAAGGCCGCGCTGAGGAGCACCGCCGACGGAAGGGTGATTCGCGCCGCTACGGATTACTACACCCCGTCGCGTATCGTGTCTGAGTTTGAGGCCGTCACGGGCAAAAAGGTTGCGTTCCGCGAGGTGCCGCACGAGGCGTTCAAGGCGGCCTTCCCGCCGGCCGCGGCGCAGGAGTTGCTGGAGAATATGCTCCTGCTGCAGGCGCCGGGGTACTATGCTGGCGCGGATCTGAAGGACAGCTTGGAGCTCTTGGGGCGGGATAAGCCGACTACGTGGAAGGCGTTTGTGGAGGAGAACAAGGCCAAGTGGGAGTAGACTGGTTCTCGATGGACATGATGATTGTGGGTGCGACTAGACTGGCAAACGAGGCTCGACTACCCTACATTATTCGGTTCATGTATCTGGCAGATTTGGAATGAAAGCAGTGGATGAGGCCCGACTATGAGTTTGTGACATTGATTAAGAGTGACAAGTCTATGGTGACTGAGTCGTGAGAGTTTATTACCGTGGCGGCGAGCAGGTGCAAAACACAGACAGCTACATTTGTAGGCATTGACAAGTCATGCAAAGCCCATTGTCTGAACAGAGAAAAGTGGAAGCAGAGCATCATTCGCAACGTTATAACGGTGTCCTCAGTGCTGTGCTGGGAGGAGCAACTCTAGCTGGCCGATATTCAATGTTTGCCGACCTTGTATCGAATACCACCCGCGCGAGCCTGTGCAACTCAACCCACGCCAAGTGCAGTACGGAGTACAACTGAATGTAATCTAACGTACCGTGGACGTAATCGTGCACGCCGTCGTCTTGGTTACATGCCGGCCCGTCGGCAATCCCAATGTAACCGAGACCGCACGGCAACATGCTAGATCAACGCCGCATCGAGTCCCCATGCAAGAGTCGTGAACAGGGAACATGGCCAGTGTTTGGTTATACAAGGCCGTCCGATGCTGCGTTCCCAAGCGCGGATGTAACAGTCTGGCGGAATATCTACCCGCCGCCAAGTATACAGTACTATTGATACCATCAATACATGTCTGGTAGTATAGTATTGATAGCATACCCGATAGCCAGGTACCGGTCTGGCGAACTATATTCCGCCTCTTACCGTACATGCCCTCGCGGGATACATTTTCGCACATGCCTTGTTGCTCTGGGCGAACCCAGATCATCCCAGACGACTGAATTGACAGCGTTCATCCAATGTCGGCCGGCACGATACAGGCCGCAGATCTTGCAAGGAACAAGGCCGTGTTTCAGAACCTGCATCTCGGCACGAGGTGCCATCAGGGGCCACTACAACCACCCAGCGAGTCGGACGAGGCAACGGCGGCCCTCGTCAACTTTACATCCGTAAATCTCTGTTGAAGTGGCTACCCCGTGAGCACACATGTGCAGCCTTTTGACAGCTCTGACGTGGCTGGGGGCCGGGTGCACGGCATATTGTCCCACGGGACCCAGGCACCATGACCGACAGCGTCTCAGCAAGCGCCGCCAGACATGCAATGGGAGCACAGTGTTGAAAGACTTGGACCTCGTTCGAGCGCCCAAGAAGGTGCTGCATCCAAACATGCAGGACCTGCCCCTGGTCGTGGTGGCCGGAAACCGGCACAGTCAACGGGGCGTGCAGGATGCAGGACTGGGTGTCATGGATTTGACCCTGGCCGGGAACGTTGCCGGCGGTTTCCTGCCGTTCACCTCTCCGCATCACAACGCCAAGGCGAGGCTTTGAATGGGCGGAGTTTGATTCCTACGCGAGTGCTTCCTGTGATTTCTGGCGCCTGCTGAGCTGCGACGATGTCCTACTGCTCGAGCTCGAGACTGTCATCTGCACGATGAGAGATGGGGGCGCATTTGTTCTCCTGACGCGAGAAAAGGCTTCGGTCCTCGCCAATAGCCATGGCTGAGCTGCGAATATGGAAGACGACGGGCCAGTCTCAAGGGCCGCGAGGATGGCTGCCCAAAGGGCGACTGCTGCCGCTGGCCAATATACTGAAGCAGCTAGCCTTTTGCCTAATCAGGCATCAATGCCAGTTGCGAACCAAGCTCAGATAATGTGGAGGAACATGGCTATTTGCTGCAGGAGCAAGGCCGTAAGAATGACCCAAATACACCAGAAGCCGCAAATAATGCCAGCAGGAACTGATAGTATCGAGCCCTTTGAGCTATCCCGGACTCGATCTATTCGCAAGGATTCCCCCCCGGCATCATACGACAAAAAAGAAACGACGTTGGGGGGCGACGGCCGCCACAACTGGCCTTGGGGGAAACGCGATCCTCCTTGTTTCGTCATGATGCCCGCCTCGACGGGACGCTGTAGGGGGCCAACCGGACAAGGGCCGATTCGACAGGCCTTTGGATATGAGCACAGCGTTGACCTGTAACACTCTTACTCGAGGCATCATGCGGAGGATCTGGAAGGGCTCATGACCCCTGAGTCTTGAACCAGGCGCTTCCAGAGACCAGGTCAAGAGACACCCGTACATATAAATTGGGCAGGCCGCCTCATCCCGAGTTGGAGATGTGCAAGCCCTTCGACTTGTTTTCGCGCAAAACACACAACCAGAGATCCTTGATGGGTCTCGTCCCTTCCTTTACCAACTTCTAAATTCCCTTCATTGTACATATTACCAAGCGTTACATAGCTCCTCTTCTACATCCACAAGTTGATCTTGACCAACACCACCATCACGATGCCCTCCTTCAGCACCCTCGCAAGCCTTGCGCTGCTGGCCAGCACCAGTCTTGCGGCACCGCTCGCACCGCGCGCACCTCGCGCCCCAGGCGCCCAGAACGTCGTCTACTGGGGCCAAAACGGCGGCGGCGTCGTCGAGAACAACGACCTCGCAGCGTACTGCACCCCCTCGGCCGGCATCGACATCGTCGTCCTCGCCTTCCTCTACCAGTACGGCAACGGGCACACGATCCCCTCCGGGACCATCGGCCAGTCGTGCTACATCGCCCCCTCGGGCGAGGGCCAAAACTGCGACGCCCTCGCCAAGGCCATCGACACCTGCCGAGCCAACGGCGTCAAGGTGCTGCTCTCCCTGGGCGGCGCCTCGGGCGCCTACTCGCTCACCTCGCAGCAGGAAGCCGAAGCCATCGGCCAGAACCTCTGGGACGCGTACGGCAAGCCCGGCGGCGGCTCCAACGCTGCCGTCCCGCGCCCCTTTGGCAACACCTCGGTCGACGGGTGGGACTTTGACATTGAGAGCAACGCCGGCAACGGCTTCTACCCGTCCATGATTGCGCGGCTGCGGGCCAACTTTGCCTCGGACCCGGGGCGCGCGTACCTCGTCACGGGGGCGCCGCAGTGCCCGATCCCGGAGCCCAACATGAACGAGATTATTACCAGGGCGCGGTTCGACTACCTGTGGGTGCAGTTCTACAATAACCCGGGGTGCTCGGTCGACGGGGCCATCAACTTTGCCGACTGGAAGAGCAACGTGGCCGGGACGCCGTCGGCCAATGCCAAGATCTTCATTGGCGTGCCGGCCTCGCCGCTCGGCGCGACGGGCACGTCCTCCGGCGCCAGGTACTACCTCGAGCCGGGGAAGCTGGCGGCCCTCGTTGGCCGGTATAGCAGCGATCCCGCGTTTGGCGGCGTCATGATGTGGGCGGCGGGCTTCTCGGACGCCAATGTGCATGATGGGCGGACGTATGCCCAGGAGGCCAAGGCCATTCTGGCCAATGACACGGCTGTCCCGACGGATGTTGATGCGAGCGCTTGCTAGATGTCGGCTGTTCTGCTGGGCGGATACTTGCTTGGTGGGGATGGAGGCCTTTTTTTCTTGGGTGCCGTCAGATTGTGCCGCGCACTGGTGTATATATTCTTGTGTACTTGTGTTCAAATACTACCGTTTGAGAGCCGATGACTTTGTAGACAAGCGGTGTGTTATGACTTGCTGTTCACTTACACGCAGCCGGGGCCAACCAGAAACAACCCAAACGCCACCAGTGACCAGACATCAATATCAACATCAACTTTCTTTTTAATTTCCCTCCGGGGGCCCTGCCGGGGGCCGCCTGCAGCGGGCTTCCGCCTGCGGCGAGCATAGATTTATTTACATTTAGTCAAGGTGACTCAACATGGACATGCCCCTTCAGTCTGGTGGCTTCGCGGCTCCTGCAACGGACCGCGCCTACATGTCGGATCCAGTCCGTCCAGCCCAATCACATCCGTTGCCGCCACCGGCTCAGCTCACGCGGGCGGCGCCGTTGGAAGCGGTATCGGGTCCAGATGTCAAGTCCAAGGGCGCGTTGCCGTCAACGCATCTACACGGCACAAGCACTTATATAACCACATGCACTAATCAACTACAAGTACACAGCCTAGCCGTCGTCTGTCCAACCAACCCAAACCCGACTTCTTGCAATTCACCCACCACACACTCACAACATGCCGTTCCGACTCGCCGTCCTCGAGTGCGACACGCCCGTCCCCAGCGTCGAAAAGGAACGCGGCTCGTACGGCGCCATCTTCGAGACCCTGCTTTCCAAGGGAACGAGCGTCGACTTCCGCCTGCTCAAGTACGACGTCGTCCGGCAGCACACGTACCCCTCGACAGGGGACGTCGACGGCATCCTCATCACCGGAAGCAGTTGCGTCCCTCGCCATCCCCGACTAACACAAACACCAGCTAACTCGCCGCAGAGCACACGGCCTTTGCCGACGATGCCTGGATCGTCCAGCTGGTGTCCTACATTCGCGACGTGCTAAACACCTCGCGCACCCCCGTCGTAGGCATCTGCTTCGGCCACCAAGTCATTGCCCGCGCGCTGGGGGCCACCACGGCCGTCGCCCGCGGCGGGTGGGAAGTCTCCGTCTCGAGCGTCGACCTGAGCCCCGACGGGCAGAAGCTCTTCGGCGCTTCGTCCCTGGTATGTCCACCGCTGCTGCAAGTGTTGTAGAAACACACCGCTGACGCAGCCTAGAACCTGCACCAGATGCACCGCGACGAGGTGGCCAGTGTGCCCGAGGGCCTCGTGTGTCTCGGCAGCAGCGCGCGGTGTCCGGTGCAGGGCATGTACAAGCGCAAGGCGGTCTTGTCGCTGCAGGCGCACCCTGAGTTTGACGGCTTCATCATGGAGCAGATTCTGCGGGCGCGCCGGGACCAGGGGATTTTTGGGGAGGAGATGTTTGGCGAGGCTGTCGGGAGGGCGGGCGATGCGCATGACGGGACCTTGGTGGCCGGTAAGATTTGGGACTTTTTCCTGGATGCTGTTGCTTGAAGATGAGGTTGGCTGGCGTGTTTCTGCGGTCTGGGGCGAGTAAATTCAATGTTTAATGTTGTGGCAACATTTCCATGTGTCTGCTGCTCTGTCTGCCTCTGCATCATTCTTGAATCTGTGCTTTCCTGATATTACGTCCCAGAGTCGAATCGCTCTGTTATGCGCCGATTTTGACTACATTAGCAAGTCGACTCTGGCTGGCAGGTCCCCGAGCAGCAGCATATCCTGTAATGGCACCTGGGCGTTGGTCCTTGACGCTCGGCATGTCTTGATAGTAACCGAGCGGGCGTAGGCATGTCCGCAGAACCGGCCATCCTCCATTCCTTGCTCAAGCGAGGCCCTTGAACGGCCTACTGTATCATCCCACTTTTGACCAGAGTATATGATGCTCCGACAATGCCGCTCTCAGGCTTCAATGGTGCCACGAGCAACGATACAACACTGACACTACCAGCCCTCACGCAAACGATATCCAAATCTCGTATCGCTGCATCACCGCCCGCAGCGTCCACGGACTAATATCCCCGGGGTCCTGCTCCCAAACGTGCTCCAGCAGCGCCAGCGTCTGCCGCATGTTCCCCAGCCCAATCGTGTCAATCATGGTCTCCAGCCGCGCCCTCAAGGCCTGCTGCACGTCCAGGCTCGTCGTGCAGCACCCAACCACGGTCAGCGGCCAGCAGAGACTGGTATTGACCCTCTCCGAGGCCGGCAGCTGGCCCAGCAGCGCGACGGCCTCGAGCACGGCGCCGTTCATCAGGTCGCCGTGCATGGTCTGCCGCGCCGGCGCCTGCTGCGGCGTGCCAAAGATGCTCCAGAGGTACAGCAGCGCGGCCTGCTTGAACACGAGCCCGGCCAGCTGGCTGCTGGTGCTGGCCAGCAGGGACGGCGCGAAGCCCAGGATCTGCGACTGCAGCAGGCCAAAGGTGATGATGTCGTCGGGCGACGCCGGCGCGGCCCCCGTCCGCAGCATGCTCTGCCCGAGCTGGAACACCTGCGGTATCAGCGTCAGCATCTCCAGCCAGCTCCCGCAGAGCTGGCCCGTGTAGTTCTTGTCCAGGAGCTGCTTGGCCGCGTTTTCGATGGCCGGGCTCAGCGCCGGCTGCGAGGCGCCGCGCGCGTCTTTGGAGATCATGCTGCACGCCACCATGTGCATGTAGTACTCGACGAGGAAGTCGGGCAGGTCGTCGCTGGCTTCTGGTCGAGGTTGGCTGAGGAGGCTTGTGAGGAGCGACTTCGACGCCGCCAGATGGTCGAATATGGTGCCGCGCACGTCGCCTCGGGCAACCTGCAAGTAACATGTTAGCCCATGTAAATGAAATCAGTGACGGCTCTTGGATCGCATCAACTCGTACCTCTGTCAGGCATAGAATGAGACTGCCGACCGTCACGACAAGATTGGTGCCTTCTTTGCCTGATACATATTCCCCCACGAGGTTTCGAAACATGCGCAGCGAATCTGCGTAGTATCGGGTGGCCACTTCGCCGCCCGACACGCACTGCTTGGACGACTGTCGATGCACCGCGCTCTGCGCCAGTATGAGATGCAACACCAGGGGGTCGGAAAAGGCAAGAGGGATGAGTTTCGCAACAAAGGGGTTGATGTCGGTCGACCCGTTGCCCATGCTATTCGCCGTGCGCTCGAGGTAGTAGCTCAGCAGCTCAAACGAGTCGTGGCCATGCGACGGCAGCAGGCTCATGTTCATGGGGATGTTGTCGTGCAGATAGAGGCCGTCGCCGCTGAAGCTCTCCCGGCCCGAGACGAATGCGAACGGTGAGAGGCCAGACACGTCCGACATGCGCCGCTGCTGCAGGGCGGCATCCACGTCGAGGGCGACCAGACTCCCAAACGACGACAATGGGGATGCCGGAGACACTGCCTCGTCCAACTCGTCCGGCATCTCGTCGCCGTTTCGGATGCTGTCGCCGCCGGCCCTGGACGAAGACCCGTCCGACGATCCATCGGAATATCGTCGCGCAGCCGAGCTCTCGGCATCATTCGGCAACACACCCTCCGATCCAATGCTCCCGTGCCGCGGAGACGCCGTCAGCTGTAGCCGCTGCAAGGCCGGGCTCACTGGTGATTGTACGTCGTCCGGCCTGGGCGAGCGCGGGACAGGCGTTGCCGCCGTAGCAGAAGCGGCAGGTTTTGACGTCGTCGACGCAGCTCTCTCCCGGCCACGAGGCTGTCCTTGTCCTTGCTCCCGAGCCGGCAGCTCAGCCGGCCAGGTGCACTCCAGCTTGTTTCGCTTGCACCCGCTGCAGACGGGCTTTTCCTCGTTGCACTTCTTCTTGCGGCGCCGGCAGGTGAAGCAGCCGGTCCTGCTGCGGATGATGGGCACAGCCCTCATCGTGGGAGATGGTGCATGAGAGGAGGTGCCGTTTTCGTCTGCGAAGCCGAATGTCTTTACGGATGGGGTTTCTGGGACGAACTTTGTCACGGAGTACGTCGCGTGCGAATCTCCTTTCTCCAGACTGCTCGCCACGAACAAAATCCACGAGCCCCAGAAACCCTTTACGATAAGGAACACCAATCCCGACTGTGGCTCTTCTGCAAGGCGTTTTGCGGGGCGTAGGAAGTCCGGGTTAGTGCTTGGTGGCCTCAAGTCGTCAACGTGGTTCCACATCCACATGGATGGATGGAGAGCACGAGAGCAGCCGTTTGACTCGCTCGCCACTAGGATGCGGCTGATGGTCCCGTGAGACTGGCCGGGACGTATTGGGGAGCTTGAGGGGTTGCGCCACACGTGGAAGTGGTGGAACGGGCAAGCCGGATATCGACCACGACGAGCTGTTCATGACGCCGGCTACAGTCGATAGCTCCAGGTCATTACGGACTGTCTCCGCATTTGCTTGGAGCGAAAATCCGGGGTACGGAGATTGGTGCCGTTGAGATGGTTCTCGAGACGCATAATAGCCTCGGATCTAGTAGAATGATATGGCAAACCCATCTTGGCACAGGTCGAAGTAGCGACTACGACGACGACGTAAGGATTGGCTTGTAATAAACTAGCTTTATCAATGTCTCTGCGAGATGCCCTTTGCCGTTCTATCGTGCTTGATAGGAAAGGCTACACTCACTTCTCCTTATCATGGCCAAAAGCTTCCGCCACAAAACTTGAAGAAACTTGGAAGTCTGAGAGGCAAAACCACAAGTACCAGTAACTTTACCCCGTTAGCATGCTTTTTAAACTGGCCAACGATGCGACGGACCGCGGCGGGTCCTGCAGTTTTCAGCCACTTGAATTACATACCGCGCTGGGAATGTGGGCCATAAAGCCTCCCATGCTGTCTCGACTACTTTACAATCTGAGCTTCTAGCGTGTTTCTAGAGTCAGATAGACCCTTTCGATCGTACGAGGACTTGTCAACACGTGGATCAAGCGACGGCAAATAGTCTCCGAGAACTATGCAAGTTTGGTCAAACCCGAGAAGACCGACACACGTTTAGATGAATCGCTGTGTTGGTGCTTGGTCTCGTTCTGCCATGATTTTGGGGTATAACTCTTGGCAATAATGTCCCAAGACGGCTTAGATTCTGAGTAATGCAATGCTTTTAATCTGGCGCTGGGAGATAGCTTGGCAACAAGCTAGTCGAGTGCTTTTGATGGTCATCTTGGCTCTCTTGTGTGTGCTTTGTCTTTGGTCATTTCATTATCGGGCGCTCTGCTTACCCATCTTGTGTGACAAGGGTTCAACGTAGAAGGCTTGGAGCAAAGACTCAATTTTCAAGATAATCTCAAAGGGTGCCAAAGGTCCTTGGTTTTTAAAACGAAGAGAAGCACAGTTGACCACTATATATATATGAAGGGAGCGCCTGTGCCTAGGGCTCTTGCCCAGTCATGTGCTTAGGCTGTGTAACCAGATGTCATTTGTCGGTGAAGCCCCTTTGTTGGAATTCGAAGCTGTTGGGCCTTTTCCGTGCAACACCTTGGCTTTGACGAATCTCGTTCCCCAACGGCGTCAATATATTCTCCAGAGACACGTTTGGAGGTCTACGAGTAAACAGCCTAGAAAAGAAGCGATAAATACCTCACTGGCCTTGATTACAATACATTACGGCAGAGGATACGAAGGAGGAAAGGTGTTTCAAACGCTTATTATTAAGTTGTAATTTTCAACTTATCCAAATGCTCGCACAAACATCAAGTATAGGACAATGCAATTACCACCATGCGCCTGGTAGTACCCAAACCAGAAAAAACTGCCATGTGCTGCATCATGCACCGTAAATTGTACATACAAATTTAGCATCGTTTATAAAAAGTTAGCTGGGTGAAACATAAGAATTGCCAAGCGTCCAAGTGGCTATTCGAGTTGAGTCAATTTACTCCAATTAAACCACAGGGCAAAAATTGTAGACGCCTACAGATTGTTACCGTAACAGCTATAATTATCATATATAACTTAGGGTATCGGCCTTCACCACTTTGTAATCTAACAACAGCTTCCAGTATCAAAGATCCTTGGTTTTTCTTGGGCTCCTTATATTACAGGGCTTTTATTTATATTTAATAATAGTAAGCCTCGCGACTATAGCTCTCGTGTAACTCCTGTCAGGCTCAAAGATCGGTCCGTATCGTCCTGTTGTTGAGTCGAACAGGCGATAATTGACGGTCCAAGGGTCATGATGGTTTCTCTTTCTAGGGTTCAAGGTTAGGGATAGGATGAGGGTCATGACAGGGGTCTTCAGGGGTGTGACAAGGGCTCGGAAAGAGGGCTTGGAGCAATTTAGCTCAATTCAACTAATAACAGTTTTTGGTATCAAAGGTCCTTGGTTTTCCTTAAGGCCTTGAGGGACTAAAGCCGTCTATTTATACAAGAAGTTGGTGAGGGACTTTGCCCTAGGTCTCGTGACTGTAGCCCTTGTGTAACCTTTAACATTTCCGTGTAACAAGGGGTTCCAGCAAGGTATAAAAGGGGCCAGTTTCCGGATTTTCAGGGCCTTCATTCTAGATCACCAGATTGACATGTCAAATACCACTACTTTGCTCAATTAATGTGCCAAAATCCACTGTGCTTATTGCTGATAATAATTCCAACAGTTGTCAGTAAGACCCCTAGTCTTTGTCGAGGGCTGGGATCACGAGTTTTAGGGTAATAACTTAATTTATCTAATAAGAGCCTCTAGTATTAAAACTCTTGGCTTTTTTTGGTTTCTTATATTAAAAGGTTTTTATATATATAAAATAATAATAAACCTCGCGATTATAGCTCTCGTGTAATTATGGCTAAGCCCAAAGATCAGTTCGTATTGTCGTGTTATATGAAAGTCTTGGCCGGGTATATCTCCGGACATCCTTCCGTTTTTGTAATATGGAAAAGAATTACTCCTTTGTCTGGAAAGAATCACCGTGTAGGTAATTATTATTTCGTATGTGGAGGAATATTAACCTATTCCTCTCCACCTATTCCTCCACGTGTGACAAGGGCAGGATAACTGGGCTCGGAACGTCCGTTTCAAGTATCAGTTTAATAATCGACTATGACGTATCAAAAGTCCTTGGTTTTCTAAGAGGTCATAAGGGACCGGAGGTCTCTATAAATACAAGAAGTCGGTCAGGGCTAGTGGCTTTCGGCCGAGGCAGCGCTCGCTCAAGGTCTGTTTACGGCCTCTCGTGTTCTTTGTTATTGTGTAACCCTTGTGGTCCGATACCTTTGTACAGGCCTTCACTGTGTGACACCGCGACTGAGGGGAAGTAAGCGTGGCATATGCAGTGTCACATTGGGCATCAGCTGTCTCAAAACAACGCGCTCATTGGTGGTCGAAGTTGGATGCCTAACGAGTGACTAATCTTTCGGGCACGCCTTCGTCCCATCATGAATGTTGTTATGATTATTTGCCTCCGAGGAACCTGGCTCCCTATAGCTCGCTACTCATCGCTATTACACGCTTCATTAGACAATCCTTTATGCGCTTCTACGTCTACATGATCAAAGCAGAATCCCTCATTTTTGCTAGGAGACAACGGAAACATCCAAATGGCTTCCAGGAAAGACGCTCGCCTTACCCAGATTCACCCTTCACCCGATAGTAACATCGAGACCGACATTGACATTATCGCGATCCATGGCCTAGATACGAAAGCCCCAGAAACGTGGACATGGAGGGACCGTTGTCACCCGAAAAACAATGTTAACTGGCTGGAGCAGGAGGACATGCTCCCACACAACGTTGGCAACGCACGGATCTTCGTTTGCAACTGGGAGGCCGAAATGTTCCAAAAGTCTACCCCTACCAATCTCGAAGAGTCCGCCCAGAGCTTCCTTCGCATTATGAGACATCACCTGGAGCAACGAGAACGCGGCGCGGCTGCAAACCCAGTCCTCTTTATCGCTTCTTGCTTTGGAGGCATTATTTTAATAAAAGCCCTCGAAATTGACGACACATGCCGAGAAAAGACATTGATAAAAGCGACGCGAGGAATCGTATTTCTTGCAACGCCATTCAAAGGCACTTCCTTCAAGGATGTACCTGATGCTGCTTTAAAAGCCGTAGCATTGTTTCGAGATCAGGCGTTAACAAACCTCATCGACTACGTGAACGAACCAAAATCCAACGCCAAAGAATTGTTGAAACGATTCATTGACATAAAATCAAGAGAGTGCTATGAAGTCTGTGCCTTCTGGGAAGCTGAAGGAATCAGCCTTTTCAGCAAAATTTACATGGCTTGGCTGTTCTCTAAGCGGGCATTTGCGCTTTGGGGGTCAGTATTGATCTTGTTGCCAATAACAAGAGAAGTAGCATACAGGTTTCTCGCGTTAACTAGTCCACCCACGAATGCATTTTTTGCCACGAGATGGCTTTCAATCCTCCCGTGGCTGCTTGTTGCCTTTCTTTGTTGGCTTTTTGGATTCTACTTCTACAGACCCAAGCAGGCAAGTGTCAAACATTTTGAAACCTGAAGGTTTCCCACCTGTTCCTGTGTTGTGCGACAACTAACAGTTAGACAGTTGGTCGATGAGAACTCAGCAACAGCTGGTTGGACTTTCGAGGGTCAACGGCTCAAACGACCTCACGGCCGCATGAACAAGTTCAACAAACCTAAATGTCCAGACTACATGCAGGTTTCCGGAGAGATTCAGAAGATTTTGACTAGTATTCGTAATACGGAGACGCCACTAGATCGAGTCGACAGGCAAATTATCGAACAATATCGAAGCGAGGGAGGGCGACGCCTCAATATCGAAAGGCTCTCTGGGCAGAGGTTGCCGATGGAAAAGTGTTATATTAATCTTGCTATTTTGGGAAAAGGTAGCGATATCTACGATACCACCAATGATCGGCACGTGCCTTCTCTCTTTGCCCGCCAGAGGGTTGAGACTCCGGCAGAGCACCTTCAAATCGAGCTATCAACAATCTTCAAGCACTGTCAAGGACCAAAAGATTTAAAACTATCCAGAAGAATATTGATTCGCGGACGTGCTGGAGTTGGTAAAACCACACTATGCAAAAAAATTGTCCATGAGTTTATTAATGGCTCTTTGAGCGAATGGAGAAACTTGTTCCAACGCGTCATTTGGGTGCCATTGCGAAATCTGAAGGGCAGACACGACACGGATGGATACAACATGAGAGCTCTATTTAATCGGGAGTTTTTTTCTTCGGACAGTGACCTGGACTCTGCTGGAACACTGTTAAATGCAGTGGCCGCCGAGAGTGACAAAACTTTGTTTCTTCTTGATGGCTTGGATGAAGTATCCAATTTTCTAGCAGGTGATGATGAGTTGGGAAAGACTCTCAGGTGGCTATTAAATCGGCCCAACGTTATCATAACAGCCCGTCCAAGCGTCAGCTTTCCCCAAGAGCTCCGGAAGCTTGATTTAGAATTGGAAACGATAGGCTTCTACCCGAGACAGGTAGACGAGTACATCAAAATGGCCTTTACTGATCCAAGAAACGACGAAGGCAACAAAGGCAACACGCCAAATACAGTGAACGATATTCAGAGCTTCCTTCAGAAGCACCGACTTGTCCAGGGTCTTATTCGCATCCCAATTCTACTGGATGCTCTTTGCCTTACATGGAGCGATACGATAGATGGACATGTACTAAATACTATGACCGGCCTATACCAAGCTATCGAACTAAAATTGTGGAGAAAGGACGTCGAAAGATTGAGCAAGAAACATGATGACCAGCCGATAAGCGCAGAGCAAATCAAATGCGCAATAGGAAGAGAAATTGAGAATTTTATTGGCAATGAGCTGCGTTTTCTTGAGTGTCTTGCATTCACTGGGCTATACTACGATGAAATACACTTTACGCGTCAACAGTTGGGCTGCATATCAGTCGAGTTAGGGGGAAAGTTGATGCTGGATAAAACGTTGCCATCGTTGTCCTTTCTGCGAACGCCAGGTCTTTCATCGGATCCAGCGGACCAGTCTTACCACTTTTTGCATCTGACTTTCCAAGAGTACTTTGCAGCTCGATATTTTGTACGGAAGTGGAAAGAGAGAGAAGGGCCTCTTCAGGTACTTTCACTCGATACTGAGAATACAACGCAAATCCTCCCCGCAGTGTTTCTACGAAAGAATAAGTATACTGCTCGCTACGATATCTTCTGGCGTTTTGTTGCTGGTTTACTTGATGCAGACGGCCAGGCACAGCAATTTATCGACATGGTGGAGGAAGAACCATTGGATCTTTTGGGTCCAACACACCAGCGACTAGTCATGCCTTGCTTGAGTGAGATATCAAGCGACTTGCAGGGCCGCACTATTTGTAATACAAGTATGTTTGACTTTCGAGACACTCGAAAGCGCCTAGAAGAGAGACTAGGCAACTGGTTGATATTCGGATTAGACTACACGGGCGACACAGATTTGGTCTTCGAAGCAGAGACTCCTGTGCGTGTCCGGCGGGACATTTCGCTGAAGGGTCCTCCTGATATACGAAAACTCTTTTGGAGGGCTCCCCCCCATGATTATCGGCAGATCACAGAAGATGTCCTGTGGGAGGCAGTTGAGACCGTCGAGAACCCAACAGAAACTGAAGACTTGCGATATTCTGCTGCCAGATTTTTAATCCGTAATCTTTCTCTACCTGACTGGGTGATAGAGAAGTGGACGGCGTGGGTTACAGATCCAGACTTTGATTCGCGTATACGAGACATCGTGATGGCAGTGCTTAGGACGCAACAACGGAAAGTACTAGTAACACGGCTCATAAACTTACACAAGATGAATGAAGCCGCTAAACGTATCATATCTATAACGAAACAACTTAGCCTACCTGACGAGCTTAAGCATGAATTAGAAACGTGGTGTTTTACTAAAGGAAAGCGCAGCATTGCTGCCATGGACGTTTCTAGGAAACTGGAATGGCCGGATAATATTCAGCAGATATTAAAAATCCTACTGAAAAACGAGAATGTGGACATACAAAGGGTTGCAATCGAGGCGTTGAAATCTCCTGCAAAGCTCTCCTCTACAACCTTGCAAGCGATATCATTACGGCTGAGGGATGATGCGGCAGAGGTACGGAGAAGTGTGATTCACATATTGGATAATCAATCAAGCTTAGCAGACAACATCCTACAAGAAATGGCAACGCGGCTCGGCGACGAGGATGTCCTTGTACGAAAGGCCGCCGCAATAGCTCTTGCCAGTCGATCTAATTTAGCAGACGATGTCTTCAAGAAATTAGAAGCTCTTTTTGTTCAGGAAGAGGCAAGATTTCGCTTGGAGGTCATGCAACAGTTACCTCATGTTCTCTACTCGGGTAGAATCTTGCTAATGGTAGCTACACAGCTAAGCGATGCAGAGGAACTGAAGGACGCTGCTGTGATCTACCTCAAAAGATATCATCCCGAAATACCGGAATACATTCAAAGAAAAATAGTGGAAATGGCTAGAAGTGGAAACGCAAAATTTCGAGCGGCCGCTATCGAAGTATTATGTTATCGAAAATTATCCCAAGAGGCCCAACAGCTCATATCAGAAGGGCTTGTGGATGCTAATAGAGAGGTTCGGGAAGCTGCCTTCGAGTCCCTGGGGCTTTTCTCCCGTTGGGGACTAAGCGCAAAGGCATTGAACGAGCTCATAAATAAAGTAGCAGATTTAACCATGAACAAGCGGCTGAGCCAACGAGAATCAAATGAGGCAATCCGATTTTTCTCTCAAGAAGGCCTTTTTGCCGCCGATGTTGTGGATGTCAATCTTCTGGGCGTGATTGCAACAGGTCTTAAAGCTTCGTATATCGTGCGGATGGATGTTTGCAGGTGCTTAGAACGCCAGCCAAATTTGCCTACATCGATTCTGCAAATATTAACAGATCTGCTGGAAGACAAGGATGAATTCACGAGAGTTTCTGCTATTATAATTTTACTCTCGCACAAGGAAATGGACCAGTCCCTACCGGTGGCAACATTAAAGTCTACAAAATGGCAGCGTGATTCAAAATTTAGTCTTATTGACGGCTTTAGGGGATTAAAAAAGTTACCAAATGAAGTTTTCCAGGTGCTGACTTGCTGGCTAGATGACTTGGAAGTCACTTTTCAAGCAGACTCACTACTCTGGAGACACGAAGAGTTTTACAATACCCTTCTAGGTGGGCCAAAGGCGCCATTGATGTACGAAGCTCTTCTTAGAGAAAGCTTCAATCGCCAAATAAGCTTGTATGTCGAGGACGGCTACCTGTGCGTCAACAAACCAGGGGGAATAAGAAAAGGCCGTATTGACAATACTCGGTGCGACATCGTGGCGGAGATCAAGAAGAAAAGGCCGCCAAACTACCCCTTGGCGGATAGCAGGGGATAGGAAAACGAAAATGACTGCAAAGAAACCCCTTCTAATTATCTATGCCTTCGAGCAGTTCAATCTGCAACAGTCACTCTTTCATTGATCAAGAACCAACCGGCAATTTGTGCTAGTCGGTAGGTCTGTAACTACTTCAGATCTACTAGCAAAGAAGTAGAACTAATTCGGCTATAGGGCTGTGCCGGGGAGCTTAAGGGCCGGGCAGAGATATCTATCGCTGTAACTTGGAGTACTTTAATACCAGGACCAAAAGGACACACTTATAAGCTGGAACCGATATTGCTGGATCTTTCTGCTCCACAAATCAAAGGTCAATTCTGGGATAGTACTCAGCTGACCAGATGAAGGGTAAAACGCTGGAGATATGAGATTAACCAGATTGTTGCTACTTTTGTTTTTAACACCGTTCTGAACTTAATCCCCCCCTTGCCACCCGTTTATGCGGTGGAAATTTCTCAAATGTATCTTATCGTGTTGCTTACCAGTTACAAAAAAAAGTGGAGGAACTTCCGTTGGTCCAAATTGTTGTTATTTCTCTTAATCACAACTCTCCCTTCACATAATTCTGGAACGACTCAAAAGCTTTCCTGTTCTCAAACCGTTGACCCTTCTGTTATAGCGGGCTCTTGGCGGCGATGGCTGTGTCAATCTATGGCGTTAATCCCTGTAGATGACTTCTCCAAAACTGCCGCGGAATAGAGGGGATAGAGTTGGGGGAAAGCTTGGCTCTCCATGCCATTCGTGATACGCGCCCACCCATCTCCATACCAAGATGTCAAGCGTTTTACTGTTGTCTTGGCTCGCCTTGGCCATGTAAGCGATCTCTATCGAGCGTCATACGTCTGCTTTGCTGCCTTTTCTCCATATCCCAAGCTTGTCTATATAGCGCCCGAGAGCAAATAAGCCAGCGAGCTCTAGTATAATAGATACGCAGGCACCCTAGTGATGGATGGAGTCTGTGAACCAGGATGCTGCAAAAATCACGAGACACCCTGTCTATATAAGTGCGCGGTGTTTGCCCGCGTACCCATTTTGAATGGTACCAAGTCACGATCGTTCGATTCAAGGCAGTAAACACCATGCGGTACATGAGCCCCAAGATGCCGTGGAGGTCATCCGGGGTATGGGGAAACCACGGGCATTTTACTGAGCAGGGAGAGCATGGAGAGCATGAAGAAGGCAACGGCCAAGAAACCTCATTTAGGTCTGCCCGAGTCAGTACTCGCTCTTGGCAATGCGCTGGTCATCTCCCTAAGCCGCCGAGGCTTGGCACAGCTCGAGAAGCATTCCTGAATGGTTTAGCTTCATAGAAGTCAAAGAGAAGCAAACGAGGTATGGAAACATGGCTGGATGATCCCAGCACCATACTTGTGGTCGCGTGAGCCGACATCCCGGCGAGTACTCCGTACCGGGAGGTCGGATACCATGTCGTTATTTAAACATGTATCTGACCCTCCCCGCCCTGGGTAACTATCTCGTACATGTTTCCATCGTCTTTCTAGAACCTTTCGCATTGCAAGGAACAATGGCGAGTAAATTAAAGAGCATCTTCAAGTTCCTCGCGCCAGACTCGGAAAAGGGCCAAGATGGGCGTGACGTGTGGTCGTCGAGGACGGCATTCGTGCTCGCAGCCATGGTGAGCACACCCTCAGTTAATCTTTTCAACTCTTCACACACGCTCCAACCATGAAACCCTTTCAACGCTCGATAATGCTGACTGAGCACCTAGGGAGGTGCCGTCGGCCTAGGCAACCTCCTCCGATACCCGTCCGTCGTCTTCGCCAACAACGGCGTCCAGTGGTTCATCCCGTACTTCCTCGCCCTCTTGTTCCTAGGCATACCGCTCTTGCTGCTCGAAATCTCCATCGGGCAAGCCTACCGCGGGGGCTCCGTCATCGCCTACAACTCAATCAACAAGCACACCCGGGGCGTCGGCTTCGGCGTCATCACAACCGGATACATTGTATCGACCTACTACGTGCCCATCCTGAGCTGGGTAATGCGGTACTTTCGCTCCTCCTTCCAGAGCCCGCTGCCATGGACAGGCCGCGGCAACGAGTTCTACACGCAAGACGTCATTGCCAACGCGGCTCCCGTTCCCGGCACAACCAGCGGTGGCACAGTCACATCCTACACCCAGTACCCGGGGACTGGGTTCGTCGGAGAGACAGTGGGCTGGTGCGCGTTCATGTGGCTGGCCGTGTATCTCTGCCTGTTCAAGGGCGTCGGCGTGACGGGCCGCGCCGTCTACTTCACCATGGGCCTGCCCGTGGTGATGATGTTTGTGCTCATGGGCCGCTCGCTGTCGCTGCCCAACGCCATAGACGGCGTGAGGCTGTACTTTGCCGAGTGGCACGGCGACAAGCTGGCCGGCGGGCAGATATGGCAGGCGGCCTGCGGGCAAATCTTCTTCTCTATCGGCGTCGGCTTCGGCTACTTCACGGCCTATGCGTCCTACAACAGCCGCTACTCCAACGCCGTCCAGGACGCCGTCATCATCTCCCTCTGCAACTCTATGTACGAGATACTGGCAGGTTTTGCCGTGTTTGGAATCGTCGGCTTCTTGGGCCTCCGGCCCCAAGACGACGTTCAGCTCACCACCTTCTCCGTCGGGTTCCTCACCTATCCTCTGGCTATTGCCGAGATGCCGGGGGCCAATGTCTGGGCAGTCTTGTTCTTCTTGACTCTGGCGTTTCTGGGCTTGAGCTCGGCCTTTGCCCTCACCGAGTCCATGGTCACGCTGCTCTGTGACTCGGACCTGAGTAAAAGGTTTCCTCGAATTGTCATCTCCACCGCTGTTATTGTCATTTCCTTCCTCTTGTCTCTAATGTACTGCTCTTCCTTTGGCTTCTATCTTTTAGACGCCATGGACACTTGGATCAACAATCTTTCACTCCTGTTTGTTGCCTGGTGTGAGGGCATGGTGTGCACCACGCTATATAGACACAGGGATGTGTATAAACAGGTCGGCTGGGCGGCGTTTTTGGTATATACAGGTTGCTACCTCATGGCCATGGTGCTTGGCGTTGCCGTTGGCCACTCTGTAAGCCCAGTTGCCGGAGCCGGTGTAGGATTCGGTCTCTTCATTGTCGGCGCGGTGGTTTCTGTCCTTGTTGCAAAGACTCCCGACTCTGTTCCTCCAGTGTTCTGGGGCAAGAGCAAATGGCTAAGCAGGTTTTGGTGGGTTGCTTTTTATTCGGTAGGCTTTTGTTCTTTGCCAATTTCATGTTTCGCCGCTTCTCCTTATAACTCTCTAATGACATGCTTGAAATACAGGGCAATCAACTTACGCGCGACCTCAACGCGGTCATAGCAACCGGGAAGAACTGGAGAATTCCCGTCTTCTGGGCCCCCGTCATTCGCTACATATCATGTCCTATCCTTTCCATCATCATGTCTTTCGCATATCCAGCTTTCTACAAATTGCGGATGGACCCTCTGCACATCTTTGCATTCGCAGTCGCACATGTGATAATGGTCATTGTGGTGGTGGGCCTCATCTTCCCACGAGCATTTGACATTTTTATCCCCCCCAAGCGACGGGAGAACGAGAGCGTGGCATACGCTCCCCAAGTTACCATCATGGGGGTGAGTGATGGTAGCGCGGCCACGGAGGCTGGGGAGGGCAGAGACGAAAGCCAGGACTTTGGTAGCAAGGGATTGGAGGAAAGCAAGTAAAGGATATGTCGGTAGCTTGACATCAAAGAGTTGTAGAACGTTTAATCTGACGAGGGATCAGCATTCTGTGTATATAAACATCTGGGTGGTAACTGGCTCGTGAGCAGTCTGCTCGGCAAGGGAGATAGATTCTCCAGTCGAGTCAAGTATTCAATGCCGACCACAAGACTCTGCCAAATCATCATCGCAATCAACTGTATGCTGTTCCCCACATCAGACAATCATGAGCGCCTTGTCCCTGCCCTTGGGCGACGCCCGGAAATGGAACTAGCCGGTGGCATTCATTCTTTGCCAGGAACCAAATCCACCTACGTCGTCGGCGGGCAGTCCGTCAGATTCAGTGATGACCGAATGGCACCTCCGGGTTTTCTGTCCCGTCATGCCGAAAGAGCAAACACTTGACGACGTTTTCACGGCCCATCATGGTCCATGCCGGACGGGCTGTGCTCGGCAGAAGTGCACCCGGGCAGCCGTTGAGCAATGGCATGGCTCAATTTGCGACAAGATGAAAATGGCACTAGCATCCGCCACCGGACTTCACCAGGGTGACATGGTTGGGTGAGCCTTGGCTGGTCACAAGCCACCTACTTTCTGCCTGTGCTGGATCGGCAGCCCAAGGTTCCGGATGGTGGAAAGGCTCTGACAGGCTGAATGGGACTTGACTTCAGATGGACGCGCCACTGATGAGCCCGGGCGGCGTTGGCTTGCTGTTGGCGTAAAAACTGAAATGGACCAGGTAAGATGGGCGGTTACTCCGTAATCAAATGGCATGGCACTCAGCCCCGCTCCTCAATTCATGCTGACGCCCTCGCCCGCAGCGTCTTGAAGTCAAGCCTTTGGGCGTGTTTCCCTCTGGTGCCGTCTGGTGCTTGGACTCGCGGTCGGCCTGCGGTAGATGGATGCCCTGATACATGGGGACTTCATTTCTCAGCCGTGAAACATTGAAACCTGGGCCTGACCCTTCCATAAAATTGGGCCGGTGATTTGCCTTTAAAGTTGGTTCTTGCCCAAACCATAAAATAGACCCCCGCGATCGCACCTTCCTCGCATTCTGCGACCGGATCCCAAATTTCATCCACATTCGCCTCCCCACGGAATCCCCCAGCAATCTCCTGCCAGGCCATGTCCAACATGCTTCGCAAAAAGGATGTCTTTACGGTGATTACCCCGATTCCCGGCTTCATCCCGCGCCAGCTTGCGCTCGATATCCTCCATTCGCACAGCGAAGTCATCACCCTCAATCCGCTCGTCCTCGAGCACAAGCCCATCTCGGCCCCGAGAAATGCCGCCGCCGACGAGTTCTACAGCACTTGGTACGAGATCACCCAGCGCATCCAGTTTGTCCCCGGCGTGGGAAACCTGGGCTCCGGCAAGATTACCTTTACCGGCTGCTTTCACGACATGCCGTGGGGTTTGCAAACCCACGTCTACGCCCCGTTCAACGTCGATATGCGATCCAAGTACCAGATTGGCGGCAACCAACCCGGTCTCGAGCCTCCCGAGCAGCGCGAGCTTGGCCTCGGGGCCCCGGCCGATGGACTTTACCTTCGCGAGGATATCGAAATCAAGTGCAACATTGCCATGGTCAGCTTTGTCAAGTCGCAGGCAAAGGCCGCAAACAAGGCCATGGTCCAGCGCATCGTCAAGAAGGCCGAGCTGCTCGATGCCGGTGTTCTCAAGGCTATGATGGAGGATGGCAAGTTGAAAACCATCAATCCCAACGATCGGTCCAGGCTCGATCGAACCAGCACCGTGAGCTATAGCCACAGTTCCGGCATGCCTAGTTCACCGGGGGCTTTCCAGCAACCACAACCTTTGCCATATCAACTCCCGGCTTCCCCGTCGTACCACGCCCAGCAGATGTACCAGGCACAAGGACAGCCTGCGCCGTACAATTACGACAAGTATTTGCCGCCGGTGCCGTCTGCGCCCGTGGAGCTGCCCGCCGACATTCAACAATACCAGTATTACCACAGCCAACCCCAATCTCGGTCTCCCCAACTTCAGGAGTTTACGCCCAACTATCGACAGTCCGCATCTTCGTCCGACCCCCGGTGGTCGCTAGGCCAGCCTAGTCCGTCACTGGCTGATACACATCGCACCAGTGCCAGCTCCGTACTTAGTGGTGCCGGCAGTTTTGGTCATCCATCACCAGGTCTGCAGAGGACAGCATTCGCGCCAGAGTTGGCTGCTCACACGGAATCAAGGGACGAGCACAAGTGAATCTGAAACTGTCGCACAACAACCATGAACCCTCTAGTTCAGGTCACGGCCTAGGGCCTAGCCACTACAAACACAAAAAGATGCCTCCCTGCAACAGGTGCTTTAGGGCGAGGAAATCCGCCCCATTTCGGCCATATGGCTTAGCCATCTAGTCGGATTCGTTAGTGAAACACACCCAACTTTCTCCATTGGCCGCGTTTCGCCGAGTCGTTTCCGGTATTGCATCGGATGCATTGCATTTGCAGGCTTCAATGTACCGCCCCCATATGCTGGATGGAGACAGTATTGGCTTGATGAGATGCGGTCCTGCGGCGGCCTACCCTTTGGTACATCAGCCGGATATTTGGCGGCTCTCCCGGAGGCCTACATATCTGATGCCAGGGGAGGATTACGCACATGAGCTACGAGCCTGAATGTCGCTACAATGTCAACTTCGGTCTTTTAAGCCGATAGAACATGATGCCAGCTCCAGCACGCATGTGCAATGCGCCCCTGAGAACGCCCGGTGTCTATCCATGCCGGCCAAATCGGCCATAGGAGAAACACAGGATACCTCCCACGTTGAAAACAGCTACTTTTAACCAAATACGTCGAGGTTTGTGGCATTACCATGAAGCATGTCCTGCGCTTCACACGCCACGCCCATTTGTAATGGATGTAAGAGATAAGATGGTCAGGCAGACGTTGCGGAAACCGGCTGCAACCGCATATTTGTGGCTACTAGACGGCAAAGGCCAACAGGATGAAAAAGTGGTCAGTCTTTTGGATGAAATATGCCCGGGGCCGCGAACCGTTGAAAATATCCATGAGCAGATTGTCCAGTATGAGAACTACAAGAATAGAGCACGTCTTAGAACATTCATCAATTAATGTCAATCATTCTTAACATATTCCGACAGAAGTGTGAGTTTTATATTCAGCCAGGACCAAGTCTCTCAGCCGCGTCCCAACAGTCCCTTGACATAAGGATCAGCATCCCTCTCAGCATCGGAGTCATCAACGCCTTGTCCGATTCCGCCTCCCATCTACCAAAGATAATCGCACCTTACGCCATTAGCGTTTGAGCCGCAGCTCGACCGCACCCTATTGTCAATCTCCAAATTCACGATACTCGCCCCCTCGGCGTCCACCCACCCACTACTCCCATACGCCCACGTATTCCAAATATCAATCTCGCCGAAATTCACCAGCGGCACATGCCCGCCCGTGTAATCACCAAAGTCCTCCAGCACAAAGTCAGCGTCGGTACCGCAAAGCGGCGCCTGGCCGTAAAGCTCCCGCGCAACAACCTGCCCCGTCGAGAGGTTCTCCAGCGTGGCGTTGCCCGAGGTGGCCGACCACGCGTGGACGCTCATCCGGACCAGATCGCCGGGGGACGCGCGGAACGCGGGACCCGGGTACGCGTGCGACGGCGCCGGCCACCACTCGTACCAGGGGACCACGGCGCCGTCGCCGTAGAAGCTGAGGCCCGTTTGGAGAATCGCCCGGCGGCAGCGGAGCCCGTCGATGCCGACCCACGCCGCTACGGCGGAGCGCGAGGGCTGCCCTGCGATCCGGGGCACTCTCACCGTTCCCGTGACGTAGCTGAGGCCTTGGCCTTGCTGGACGGCGCCGGCCCAGGGCTGCTGCACTTGACGGGCGGCGAGGCTGTCGGGGGGTCTCCCGGGTCCGGGGGCTGCTAGGACGCTGAGGATGCAAGCGGCTGCGCTGATTGCTGACAACTTCATGTCGAGATTGGAGGTTATTTCTTGGCTGTAGGGGTTTGCGGGATGGTGTTCTGGTGATGGGTTGTCTGCCGGGAGCGAGGTCAACGAGGCCCAAGTCTGGGCTTATATACCCCGTGAGCCTCGAGTTGAGACGGACTTGCCCGATGACCACATTGCGGCTATTCCATATTTTGCAGGCCGGCGTGTGTAGTAGAAACTTGGACGTTTGTCTTTGCCTGTACAAACGGCAGGGATGGAAGGTGTGTTCGCGAATCCATCAAGACTTGCACGGACCAAAGCACGCAAAGTGCCAAGCGAGGCAAAAGTAGCGTTATACGCACGTCGCATGGCCGGCCTTTCGTCTTTCAAGGCCGTTGGACATGCCTATTATCGTTAGATATGCCTTCTAGATGGCCGCTAGTGCCGACCACCGCCTCCCGCACGGAGCAGTGCAAAGTTTCAAGCTGGTGTTAACTGTGGGATATGCCGCAGCATGTTGGCATACCTTTTTGAAGTAGAAAAGGTCTAGTGGTCTGGCTATTATGACTAGCAGACTAATTGCGCGGCGGCAGCTAATTTTCGAGGGTGGCAAGGCCCGAGTGGACATGATGGAAGCCATTTCGGTGCCAGGCAAGGAGACATGTTGATATTTTTACGACTTCTTGTTGGACAAGCATCGGGTTTGGGAACGACCACATCTGCGTCCGGCATCACAACGGAATACCTGTCGTCCCTTTCCCTCCCATTTTCCCAGTTGGATATGAGAGCGCTTTCAGACGTCTGAGACTATTTTCAACTACCAGACGACAAGGTTTGCTCGTGGGCGAGAAGTAATTATGGCTAGCGGCCTTGGACTAGTTTAGGCGCATGTCGATGGAGGCAAGAACTGGTGCTGTTGGAGCACCGAGCGCCGCGGGTCTATCCGTCTTTGATGGGATTACGATTTCAAGACGCAGCCAGGCAGTGTGTGATGCTGATGGTGGTAACGGGATAGCCTGGTGGCGCGAGGAGCGACAAGGCAACCTTGGAAGGGCGAGAGACGGAGATGCGCCTGCGCCTGCTTCGAATGGATCGTGTGTCGCCCGCTGTCATAGTATTCAAGCACTTGACCAGAATTTAATACTTGACTGTCATGTCTCTTTATCCTTTACAATAGCAGTGGGCACCCGAGGTCACTTGTTGCCATCAAGGGGTCAACGTGGAGAAGTGAGATTTGGAGCCAAAGGAATCGGGAGTGACAAATTGACAAGGAGGCCCCACAACGGGCCAAGCGGCGATTCTCATAGGTGGTGGCTGCAGGTGTGCCGTGCCCAGCCGTCCAATGGCCGTCCGTCGCATGTTCCGATGCCAAAATTTCATTTCGCGATGCTCTCATCAATGCCATATGCTTGCCTGCGCCGGGACACAACCAGACCAGACACTGTATCCCGACGGCGCTGTCGGCTTGACTACTAGTCATAGTGCTGTGCGCGTGCTTCCGGCTCTTCAATCAAGCAATTGCGCCGAATCTGGTTGTCTGAGGCGAGCAGGACGCAGGACATGTCAGCTCCAAGGCCTCGAGGCTAAAGGGGGCACGCAGTCGTTTCTCACGCATTCTTCTCATCTGAGAGCGCACCGCCAAATCTTGGCGGCTTCTCATTTCTGCTCTACTGCAACATCTCGGCCCAGCACATTGCATCATTATTCGCTTTGCTATTATTTATATGCAACCCTTTTTGTTCCCTATCCTCGACGTCGGACTCTGGCCGTCATGCACCATGTCGGTGCGGCCCTCCATCATGACTGTGCCTAATGCATGCCGACGCATGACTTCATTGCAGGTTTCCGTGCAGACGGCAAAGCGCAGGATAACATCGGCTGTTTCTGCACGTCCTACGCCGAATCTGCGCGAACCAACATGGCGACGGCTCACGGGCCCGGACAACGGCAACGGCTACGGCAGCTTGAGCACGACCCAACAGTACGTCTGCGCGCTTCCAGTACAATTGACATTTGAATACTTTTTTTCCTCGAGAATGAAAACCCAGGCCGTCGTCAGCCGTGGCTGGTTGGCGTGGTATTGTTGTTGAAATTGCCATGCTTTGTCGAGTTCAGCCCAAATCCTGCTAGTGCGGGCCTTATGGATTGTTGATGCATGCCATGACCGGGTGAGCAAAAACGGCAACATCAAATCAGCCCTTTTGCCTCGAAGCTGCGGCCAATCGCCAACATTGAAGCTTGAGCCTACTCCGCACTTTGATGCGGCTTTCCCCTCGTTTTGACCCCTCCAAAGTCCAAACCTCCAAACCTCCAAACATTGACCACACCGCGGAAAAGTCTGCCGTATCAAACTGCACCACTCACGCACGACGACCAGAGGTTTCAGAACCCCTCATTACTCTATTGGAGCTTGTCCTGGTACTACACCTCATCTTGTCCCATGTTGTGACACCATGCCCCCCTCTCTCAGCCGAACCCGCACGCCACCACGCATCCCCGCTCCACCTTGACTTCGGCTCGCTTCCACTTACACCATGACAATAGCTTCCACCTTCCACCTTTGGCTTGAGCACTTGGAGCTATCAGAGAATCCGCTGACACCTACATTTCTTTCCTCAGGCTTCGTCTTCATAAGAGATTGGCATCCACAGTCGCCCGCCCCCGTCCGTCTCTCGTCTCCTCTCGAATTCGGCATTCTCTCGGACCCAACTGCTGGCCTCACCGTCAACTTCGCCATTGCTCTTACCGAAGACACCTCGACAACATGTGCAGAGCCCAAGCTGGTGTCGACCAGACCGGCGGCGGTGCCGCTCCTGGTAGCACCCACGGCCGCGAGCTTCTCCCTTCCAACGTCATCCCCCGCCATTACCACGTTACTCTCGAGCCCGACTTCGACAAGCTGACCTTTGACGGTACCGTCGTCATTGACCTCGATGTTGCCCAAGAATCCAGCTCCGTCTCCCTCAACACTCTCGAGCTCGACGTCCACAGTTCCAAGCTGTCCGCCGACGGACAGACTGTCGACCATGCCCCCAAGGTTTCCTTCCATGAGCCCACCCAGGTCACCAAGTTCGACTTTGACGGCCATGTCCTTCGCAAGGGCTCCCAGGCTCAGCTCGAGATCAAATTCACCGGCCAGCTCAACGACAAGATGGCCGGCTTCTACCGATCCACCTACAAGCGCGACGACGGATCTGAAGGCATCCTGGCTTGCACCCAGATGGAGGCTACCGACTGCCGCAGGGCCTTCCCCTGCTTCGATGAGCCCGCTCTCAAGGCCAAGTTCACCGTCACCCTCATAGCTGACAAGAACCTGACTTGCTTGAGCAACATGGATGTTGCCAAGGAGGAACAAGTCCAGTCCACCATGAGCGGCACCACCAAAAAGGCTGTTCACTTCAACACCTCTCCCCTCATGTCTACCTACCTTGTCGCCTTCATTGTTGGCGAGCTCAACTATGTCGAGTCCACAAAGTTCCGTGTCCCTGTCCGTGTCTATGCCCCGCCAGGCCAGGACATTGAGCATGGCCGATTCTCTCTGGACCTTGCCGTTCGAACCCTGGAATTCTACGAAAAGGTTTTTGGCATCGAGTTCCCCCTCCCCAAGATGGACCAGGTGGCCATTCCCGACTTTGCCCAGGGCGCCATGGAGAACTGGGGCCTCGTCACCTACCGTGTGGTCGACCTGCTTCTCGACGAGAAGACCAGCAGTGCTGCCACCAAGGAGCGTGTCGCCGAGGTTGTTCAGCACGAGCTGGCTCATCAGTGGTTTGGCAACCTCGTCACCATGGACTGGTGGGAGGGTCTCTGGCTAAACGAGGGCTTCGCCACGTGGACTTCATGGGTATGTACCGAGACTCGTGATTCAATTCTCACACAGCCCCTGCCGCTGAATCGACCAATCATTTTGCTAACATGCTTTAGTACTCCTCCAATGTCTTCTACCCGGAGTGGAAGGTTTGGGAGAATTATGTCACGGACAATCTGCAGTCCGCTCTGTCTCTCGACTCCCTCCGTAGCTCCCATCCGATTGAGGTGCCCGTCAAGCGCGCCGATGAGATTAACCAGATTTTCGACGCCATCTCTTACTCCAAAGGCTCCTGCGTTCTTCGCATGGTCTCTACTTACCTTGGCGAGGAGACCTTCCTCGAGGGAGTTCGTCGGTACCTGAAGAAGCACGCCTACGGCAACACGCAAACGGGCGACCTGTGGGCTTCCCTCAGCGAAGTCAGTGGCAAGAATATTCAAGAAATCATGAACGCATGGACCAAGGAGGTCGGGTATCCCGTCTTGACTGTTACTGAGAACGGCGCCGACAGCTCCATTCACGTCAAGCAGAACCGATTCTTGCGAACTGGTGACACCAAGCCCGAGGAGGACAAGATTTTGTACCCTGTCTTCCTGGGTCTTCGCACCAAGGACGGCGTCGATGGCGAAATTGCCCTCACTGAGCGCGAGAAGGACTTCAAGATCCCCAGCAAAGACTTTTTCAAGCTCAACGCCAACCACACGGGGATTTTCCGAACCTCGTACTCGCCTGCTCGTCTGGAGAAGCTCGGCCAGGCTGCCAAGGATGGCCTCCTCTCTGTCGAGGACCGCGCTGGTATGATTGCCGACGCCGGTGCTCTTGCCACTTCCGGGTACCAGAAGACGTCTGGTGTGCTCAACCTACTGAAGGGCTTCGACTCTGAAAACGAGTTTGTTGTCTGGAACGAGATTGTGGCCCGCCTCGGGGCAATCCAGAGCGCCTGGGTGTTTGAGGCTGAAGAGGTCACCGAGGGCCTGAAGGCGTTCCAGCGCGACCTGATCAGCCCCAAGGCGCACAAGCTGGGCTGGCAATTCTCCGACAAGGACGGCCACATTGAGCAGCAGTTCAAGGCGGTGCTTTTCGAGGCCGCCGGTCTCAGCGGTGACCAGAAGATTATCGACGCCTCCAAGGACATGTTCAACAAGTTTATGGCTGGTGACAAGTCGGCCATCCACCCCAACATCCGCAAGAGCGTGTTTGCCATTGCCTTGCGATACGGCGGGATTGAAGAGGTAAGAGCTTCTTTCTTTTTTAACTCTCGTTTCCAGATGCCGCGATGTGCACTTACTTTACATGTTACTGACTTGACTGATGGAAACAGTACGACAAGATTCTCAACTTTTACCGATCATCAACCAACTCGGACGAGCGCAACACTTGTCTGCGCAGCTTTGGGCGCGCCAAGCAGCCGGAGCTCATCAAGCGCACGCTGGACCTCCTCTTCAGCCCCGAGGTCAAGACGCAAGACGTGTACATGCCCGTCATTGGGTTGCGCGCCCACGCAGAGGGAATCGAGGCCCTGTACAGCTGGATGGAGGAGAACTGGGCGGCGCTCTACGAGAAGTTGCCGCCGACCCTGCCCATGCTCGGCTCCATGGTCAACATTATGACGTCTGGGTTCACGACGCAGAAGCAGCTTGAGCGCGTGGAGAAGTTCTTTGGGGCCAAGAACAACAATGGATACGACCAGTCGCTCGCCCAGAGCATAGACGCGATCCGGTCCAAGATTTCGTGGCTGTCTCGCGACAAGGAGGATGTGGCTGGCTGGGTCAAGGCGAATGGGTACGCCAAATAGCTTTGCTGTAGCATAGTAGGCCAAGAGAGGGGATGAAAGGACTTACTTGCTAGCATACCGAGCAGAGTAAAGTGTGGAATTGGAAAAAAAGTCATGGTATTCATTACATATATTAGTCTTGGGATGTACGTGGTAGGCTTTGATGGCGAGGATGTGAATTCGGTGTCTAGCAGACCAAGATGAGAACAAGAAGGCATTATTGACAACCACCGAATCATGTATATTCGTGACTTGTGAGGCAGCGTGGTCAAAGGCAACGTAACGTGCGAGGGTCATCAAGGCCCGTTCAACAGTATGAAATCGTATTTATTTATTACGGTGGTGGTGCTCGAGACCCCTTGCCAGACAATGTCGTATTTATTTATTACGACCCTGACCAGAGACGACATTGAACATTCAACGTTGAGCAGATAGTAAGAGATAAAAGGTAAATAAGGCATATAATAATAATAAATATTAAACAGATAGTAAGAGATGAAAGGCAAACAAGACATGTAATAATATTAAATAGTAAATAAATAGCAAGAGATAATACCTAAAGGCCTAGTGTCACGGTTTCGCTCACCAAAATCGCTGATATTTAACGCCGTTTTGAGCGGCAGGGTGACACTTGACGCCCTTCCCAAGAGCCCAGCGTGCAGACGAACTTGGCAACATTCAATGTTGAATCCCACAGGCTGCAGCTCCAAGGACTGTGGCCGAGCGACCTTGCTTTTCATGGCATTGACTAGACGCCGTTGCTAATCCCCTCTGCAACATTGTCAAAGATGGCCCGAGGCCTCTTGTCCTTCCATCCTATAGAAGTTCCTCCTCTTCCATCTCTGGCAGATTTGAGTTTCCTTACTAGCTATAATTATAGTGTTTTAATTTAATATTATAGCCTTAATAATATATTTTAACTGGAGGCTAAGTTTAAGATTCTAATAATACTTTAAGATATATAATTAAGCTTATAATATACTATAATAATTATATATATATACTAACTAGAGCTGCTTTTAAACGCGTTTTTCTTTTAATACCTGGCTATAAATGATACCTTTATTTGTGTTACAATATAAGCATATTAATACTAATATAAGGAAGTTTTACTATATAAATACCTAGACTGCTCACCTAATAGTCTAAGATGGCTGAGTCGGTCAGCCCCTCCTTACGTACTGTTTCATACAATACCCTAGCCGCATCATTAGAAGACTTGTCCCTCACCTCCCACAAGGTTCTCACTACATGTCTGAATCCTGCAAGCCGAAAGGCGCTGACAAGGTTGATAGCTTCGTCGGGCAATTTGGAGCTGGCCAAGTTGGCACCAGTTGAACATGCCGACAAGTAGCATAGAAAAGGCGGATCTGTCTCCAGGTTGAGGTCTCGAACGTCCGCCACAGTCAACAGACTGCTCTGCCAATCTTCAAGAAGCAAACCGCATTTCGACGGCTCCGATTCATGCGTCGTTCCATGGCCGGCAAAATGAAAAATCCGGCACGACCGCAGCTCGTCTAGTACGCTGGCTCTGCGAAGCTCTGGCCTGGAAAGGTGCATTTTCAACGACGAGCAGACCCTCCCCACCATGGCAACCTCAATCGCAGCAAAGGGGAGGCTTCCGCTTTGGCCGAAGCCCGGGGTGTCACTCATGCCGATCACGAGAGCCTTGTCCGACGGAGGACCAGCAGATTGCCGGTTCTGGGACCCGAGTCCGCGTATCAGCTGCTTGACGGAAGTCGCGTACGAGGACATGGCTCTGTCGAGAACAGACCTTGGGCTTTTTGACCCGTCATGTCCCGCAGCGTGCAAAGGAAGTATTGACACTTGAACTGTGGACGGGATCCACTATACACGCGGCCAGTTGTCATTTGTAACTGGAGAGTGGTACTCTAGGGCATCGAGAACTGGTTCACAGAGCGTATCCCAGACCAGCCCTAACAGTTTCGAGGTAGAAGAGGATGAGTGCATACCAGATTGTCGAGTTTGTGAGAGTAGGGAAAGAATCTCCGTAGGTTTCAGGTCTGGCAGCTCCAGCACACGGATCTGATTTTATGTGATGAGGATCGCGTCGGAGTGATGTGCGGTGGCATTCATCACAGCTATGGGATCGGGATTTGCGGCAGCCTTGATTTCGTCCTCGGTCGGCGGCAGAACGAAGCGCTCGAACCCTTGGCAAAGACGCATCTTGCCAAGAACGTCCCGAAGACCTCCATCTGCCTTCATACGACTTCCTGATCCGAGCTTTCCCTGGTTTCTGTTGCTCCAAGTGCCAGAAACTCCAGCCATGCCGTCTGGTGTGTCAAACACGTCCTGCAGACTGCAGAATTCTTTCGCGAGGTCCGGGTGCTGTTGTTCAAGAACCGAGACGTCGGTCCGAACCTCCATCATCGTGGTCGAAATTATGTTACGCCCAGATTCAAGAAGCTGCAGCGCGTGAAATGGACCGAGATTGGGATTGAGGGCGGCTGAAGCAGCCCTTGACGAGAGGCCCTGGAAGTGCTTGAGCTCGTGTTGCTTGTCTAGATGCTGTAAAGACTTGGGGCTAAGAAGAGGAAGAGGCTCCACGGCTGTACATAGCATAGAAGCCGCTGTCTGCTAGTCCAAGCGTGATGTGAAGATTTCACTACACCTTGGAGCCAGAGTAGCCTGAGTTGTAGGACGAGTGGTTTGGACAGTCCAAGCCCTGTTGGAGATGATCCAATGCGAGTGCCTGGTCACAAGTCGAGTTGTCGAGTTTCATCCGCGTCAAGAGGAATACTGCCCGATTGTTGAGCATCGAGGGCCGCTCCACATGGTCAACAGGGAGTCTGTCTATTGCCTCGCCGGACACCTCGATTGCACGTTACAGGTCGCTTCGCAAGCCCTTCTCCTCAAAAAGACAGACAGGTTACTCAAGGCTAGAACTCGAAGGGGATGATCCGATGGAAGAGCTTCTAGTGCTTTACCGGTGGCTTCGATGGCATCGTCCAGATCTGCCGCTGATTTTGTCATTCCATGCTTGAGGCCTAGCATTGCCCCAAGGTTATTGAGTGTCTGGCCACGATGTGGGTAGTCCGTAGGCATCAGGCTGACCGCGTTGCGCAAGAGTTGCACGCCACGGTCGAGGTCTTTCATCGATCCTCCTCGTTCGAACCGCCTGGATAGACAAGCTGCGAGACATATTATTCGCTCGGTCCGGTCATGACCTTGCACACTCAGATTCGTTGATCTCTCGCCAGCAGCGACCGCACTGTTCAAATCGTCCATAGACCCCGTCCGGTCAGATCGTCTCACTAGTCTAAAGGCCAGGTTGCATAGAATGTCGCCTTCAAGCTGCATATCTTGACGCCGAGCCGCCGCCTCAAGAAGCATGATGCATCGATTCAAGTTGTCAATATGTCCGTTCATGTCGAAGCGCTCGCCATAGCAGTTCCCGAGGTTGTGTGCTTGGACAACCCAGTCCGTGTCGGTCGAGGATGTGAGGACCAACGCCTGCTCTCGGAGTTGAATGGTGCGATCCAAGTCGTCCATCGACCTGGTGTGTCGAAAACGTGCGAAAAACAGCTCCGATAGTGATTGGAGCCGTTCCGATCGGTAGAGGCCGTCGTTTTCAGGTGTTGCCCGCAATCCTACAAGGGTCAAGTTTATTGCCAGGTTCAGGTCTCTTATGTCTCTCGGTGTAGACTGTTCAAAGCGCTTCTTGAATACTCCAGCCAAGCCAAGCAACGATGGAACCCATGTAGAGCCATCTTGAGGCGTCGACTGGAGGCATTGGCACGCCGCATACACTCCAGGCGCGGGCGCGGTGAGCAGTCCACTCTCTTCAAGACGAGTTTTGAGTTGTCTCCTGATTTCGTTCAAGGTAAGACTTTGCACCAAGTTTCTGCCGTTATCCTTCATTATGACGGCTGTTTCCAGAATTTTGCCTGCTTCATCCTTGTCTCCCGGTCCAGCCATGGTATTCAAATGTCTTGCCCGGTGAAGAGCTTTCTCCGCGTGTACAGTTGCTCCCGTTCGCAGGTAGAGAAGAAGACAGGTGATTATATGCAATCGCATTCCCTCAAAGATTTCGAGCTTCTCATGTAGCTTCTCCATAGAAAGTAGATCCGAGTCATGGCAGCCATCCAAATAGACGATGATCTCTTTGTCGAGGTTGAAGAAACTCTTGCACATGATAGCATGGGGGGTCGCCATGACGAGCTCTCTTCACGCGCCGGTGGCGAATGGCTCAAATCCAACAGCGAAGACCAACATTTGGCAATAACATTAGCAATTGCCGTCTCAGGTCTACCGTTGAGGTGTGTGACAAGGGCAAGTAATATTGGGCTTGGAACAATGTTCGATGTTCAACTAATAATTCGCTTTGATATCAAAGGTCCTTGGTTTCTCTCAAGGCTTCCAAGGGCGGATGACGCTTATTTATATCAAGAGGCGGTCAGAGGGCTGTCCTAGGTGCCTGAGGCCCCCGTTAGGTCTCAAGCCCTTCAATGTTGTGTAACTGTCGTCATGTTCAAGGTCCGGCCCGTGCCTTTATGGCAACGTGACATCCGTGTAACAAGGTGGGCGAGAAGGTTCTATGGCAGGCTGAGTGAGTACCTAGAAGCAATGTAATCGGGTGTTGTAGACACGCATGTGAGCCGGTGTCATTGCTGGATCGGCATGGGCGACTTATTTCGACTGAATTTATCAAATGGTTTTTGTGAGGCGACATGCAGTCATAGGTGACTGTCCTGACACGGGTTAACTACATACATGTATGTATTTCGGATGCCTAATTATCATACCAGCCCAACCAACACACGTTGATGCTCTGCGTCGGGCAGTAAGAGCCCCCTTTCGAATGCCTTGAGTAATCAAGTCGCGATTTTGCCTTGCACACCATCTGCTCAGTTTTGGCTGCGCCGCTGGACCGATCGGGCGTTGATCAGCAATACACGTCACTGTCACCTTGCAGCCTAATCTAACCTGCCTGATGTATCTGACCTCTTCTGTTCACCCTATGTGCAAGCATGTACCAGACACTACCAGTCGCCAGGTCGAGGTTTCTCTATAGTGTAGACCTAGCCTGAATAGATCGGATGCAAGCCCGACATGGATTCTGCTAATCCGCTTGCGAAGCACTGGGCAGTGCTAGTTGGAATCAACTTTTACGGCGGTGCGGAAGACCTCAAGGGTTGCGTTCACGATGTTGGGCGATGAAGCAGTACTTACAGACGGGTCGACACTCTGTCGACATTGCGGCTCTCACAGCGACGGCCCCTGCCAACCTGGCTCTTGCTCTCTTTGAGGAGAGCGGTCCTGGGATGCGCTACTTACAGAGCCAACTACTCGCAAACTGTCTTGGGCGCATGGTAGAGAAGGGTCTCCTCGTCACTGTTGTCCTTGACTGCTGCTTCTCGGGTAGCGTCCTCCAGCCCCCATGAAATCGCTCGCGAGCTCCAACTCGCCCAAGGAGAGAGACGCGGAGCCCTCAGCTACTTTCTTCTAGACGCACTAGATGACCTGAGAAGGCGTTGTACAGAAATCACCCATGAATCGTTGTATGAGCACCTACGAGTGAGGTTTCGCGTGTCCTGGCCGCAGCTAACGCCAATGCGCTACGGTAACAACGACATGTCCGATCGGGCGCCGAGGTGACCGAAGAAGGACATGGCCTACTTTCGAATCTACTACAGAGCCGAGGATCAACGCCTGTGCTTGGATGCGGGACTAGCACATGGCCTTCACCCGAACGACGAGTATGCCGTATACCCGCTCAGCTCAGAGGATGCCACCAACCAGTCGGATATTGATATCTTGGCAACGGTTCGAGTCGAGAATGTTGGCCCGCTTACGTCGGAGGTGGCCACAACCGGACAGGAGAGAACCAATTTGAAACAGGGCCATGCCGACTGCTGGATAGCAAAGTCATTGACTGCCCGCTCACGTCAAAGGGTATCGGTGCGGCTCGCTGCCAGCGCCCACAAGCTCCTCAATCATATCCAACAGACTAGGGGCTCGGATGGACAACGATGGCTACGCCTGTGCACAAAGGATGAGCGGGAGGCATGCATGTTTAACCTTGCGGTGAACGACCGCCAGGAGCACGAAATACTCGACGGGACGCTGCAGAGAATTCGCAGCCTGCCTACGGTATCCATCGACACCCCGGACGCAGAGCACCATGTCTTGGGACTCTTGGCTACGTTACAACACCTCGCCGAGTTCAAGTACGCCGAGGGTATCGAGAACCGGCTCCCGAATTCCTCTCTTGAAGCTCCATTCTCGCTCCTCTCCTCTGCAGACGGCAAGGCGCCCGGCGCTTCGGCAGTTCACGATATCGAACACGGCGGCATATGGCGCCTCGCTCTCGACACTCCTCGCAGACTTGACAAGACCCTTGCGAGGGCCAAATTACCCGGGACAGGAAGCATGGGCAACTCGGAGCTTCATCATACGCACCGCGATGCACGGGAACGACTGAAAACAGGTACTTCATTTTTCAACTAGCAGTACTTGAAATAAACACGACAAGGACAGTCGTATAGCTGTGACCTCGGACATTAGTACATACATGGTCTACGAGACCAAATAAATTGTGGTGCCAACGTACGTTGCACCTGCTACGGTCAGCTCGATTGCCCTCGCCTTACTAAAGCTGGATAAAATGGCTATAAAACCACCCGTAGCGAAAATGACAACGATCAATCGGGCTGTCAGGCTGCCGACAAGATGGCAAACGACGACCGGGGCGAGGAGGAGAATGGCGATGAATGGTGCAAGAAGAATTCGCACCGCTCGTCCTATCGATGATGGTGAGAAAACATGCACGTTTGGGTCTCGACAAGGCCGCCGACTCTCCCGTGTTTGAAAATATACCCCGAATTTCATACAAGCGTGTTCCACAATCGCCTCCAACCAGGATGTCGCGTTGTCTTGTTGGGTAGTAACGCTGACAAGATCCTCGCCTTGTTCCAAGTAGGCTGTCTCTGCTCGTGCCACGCAACCGTTTCCATGGACCCAGTTCCGCAGGTTCGTGACGGCTCGGTGCGGCGCAGCTTCAAAGGTCATTGCCCGCTGCTGCCTCTCGACGAAGGAATGTGCCGCCATCAGCGCTTGAGACTCGAGAGAGCACAGTGCGGGCGAGTGCATGTGGGATAATTACCATAGTCGGCCAAGGCGCCATCTATTTCTGAAATGACGGCACGCCTCTCCTGGTTGGCGTCCCTCCGACTGCTTCCAAGTGATAGCGGGAACGACTCTTCTCGATCGATCTTGTCCAGCTCCTTCTCGAGGATCGCGAGTCTGTCCTGCTTGAGCAACAACAGACGCGTGCGTAGGGTGGAAAATCGCCGACAGACAAGGAATGACGGATGAGACGCCAAAAGTACTGAGAATCGGGGGTACCCTGGTGGGAAGGCCTCGACTATGGCCAGTCAGCGCCATTGAATCGAATTCTCCAGGGCGGGCTGTCATGTCAAGTTAAGTCATACTCTGCCTCGATACCCGGCTACTCGAATCTGGCAGCGCGGTGCGGGTAAACCATGCTTGGAGCCACAAAGGCCAAATGTGACGTTGGTGTAAAGACACCTCAGGATCAACGCAACCCAGTTCAATATCGACTCCTAGAGGTGAAGTCATCTTGTTCCCCTAGATATGACTGGAAAGGACAACAAGGGTCTCGAAATAGGCATGTAGATTATAGTGCTATTTGTCTCGATATATGCCATGAGTGACAGAAGTGAAGACGACAAGTTGCCGGCCCTGGGAGATCTAGCGGCTCGATTTTCATTGGCCTCGACTCAAAAAGATGAGAGAATTTTTCCAGTGGCCAGTCGATATTTGGCTGGTCTCTGGTTTGACGACATGGTTCGAGACATGTGTTGGTCGATGCAAATGTTCAGCCCTGGAGGTGTACGCCCACGCAGGTACCGAGCCCCGACATGGTCTTGGGCCTCTGTAGACGGGAGTATTGATTACAAGACCTCTTGGGTCAACCACCATCTTGACGACGGCCCTGATGCTTTACTGGGGCCACTTTTCTTAGTGCTAAAGGTGGCAAACCATTGTATGCACTCGTTTGCTGCATCGGCAGTCTTCCAGAGGGTTGGGTTTGGGATAGGAGTCTGGGTGGAAGATGAAAATGGAGGCAGTGATAAACCGGCGCTGCGGCGGTTGATTGTCGAAAGATTTGCTGCGGCGAAGAAGCGAGGTGATCTCCAGAGTATCATAATTATATGAAAACACCATCACCAGCACACATGAGGACCGCGAGCTTTTCTAAGTCGCAATACTGCTACCGTCGTTTAACATTTGGGGCGGACCTGATGATAGCATAAGTTGTGCTCACGGTCAAGTTAGGAGGCAAGTGCCACAACGTCATGCTTGGTTATGTGTAGCTAAAATTCGGAAAGTTGGTCATCAATACGAAGATGAAGGCTATATGTAGACATGGGCTCCGTCTAATTAGAGTGTTGACACCCCAGTGCGATTCAAACGAGGCATTCCGGGACCTGCAAAATGTAACGGCCATAATGCACGATGATAGAGATGATAGCTAGGTGGAAGCAATACGGGCGTTGTATTCAAAGACTAAAGCTTGCCCTCGCACTTCCATGTTGACGTCAATTGTGCGAGGCGCTGGCTATATGCAGGCGAGGTACCCTCTAGACGTGACCTGTATGACCGGCACTCCTATGCAGGGCCATGTCATGATGCGCCTTGCACAAAAGACTAAGACTCTGAAGCCTTGAGTCTACAGAGGAACGAGACACTGGCTATACCCGCTAAAGCCGTAATACTTGGCTTTATTGTATAATAATAGTAAACATTAAATAAATAATAAGCGACAGCCAGGTAAATCTCTCTAGTTGGCCAATAGCTCGCGGGGCCTCTTCTACCATACAATTTTTCTACATGTAGGGAAGCGAGTCTCCACGAGGTATTGGGCAACTAACGAGATGAGACACGCAATGGCATTAAACATTGAACAAACAGTAAGAGACAGTAAGGGAAATAAGGCATATAACAATATTAAATATTAAATATTAAACAGACAGTGAGAGACAAAAGGTAAACAAGGCATACGGCAATATTAGAGCACGCATGTCATGGCAGAGTAGAGTCCGGTAGTATTTATTTCCTACACGAATCTACAACAGCCACAATAAGAATAAAACAAAGGGCTACTGCAGCGCAAATCATGTTCATGGTTAATCATACTATATAATTCTGTATCCGTGCACCAACAGCACGTCAGTGATAGTGATGCAAAGGCCCAATGTCGTCCATCAATTTCAACGCACAGTCCATCCATCAATGTCGATCCATGTCCGTCAATCCCAATGATCAATCAATCTCGATTCAACAGCAACACCTACGGCCTCGCCCCTCCCCTCCCATGCGCCGCGTCATACAACCCCCTAATGTCCGCCTGCCACTGACTCACATTGGCCCTCAGCACGCGACGATCATACGTATACAAGCCATTCACCTCGCCCTCCACGTCCGTCGTCTGCGTCCACACGCCCCCGCTGCACGCATACCTCTCCACCTGCTCCGTCAGCTCGCGGAAGAGTACCCCCGCGCGGTAATTGTACGCGTCGAGGTCGGCGCTGACCTCGTACGTCTGGTTAATCGTGTCAATGGCCTGCTGGACGTTCCACAGGCTGCGCGTCAAGTCAGTCAGTCATTCAATCCAGTAAGTATGCACGCAGAGCCAACACAACTCACTGCTCAATCGAGACGTTGTGCCCGATGCCGCCAAACTCGCCCTGGAACCCGATGCGGCGGGGGTCGTAGGGCGACGAGAGAATCGAGTAAAAGGGCGTGCCGCACTGCGGGTTGGCGTAGTGGTGGTTGTCCTGCGCGGGACGAGGGTCAGCCAACATTAAACTCAAGTGGTCAATACATGGTCCCGTTCACATCAAGACACGTACGGAAAAGTCGCCAAAGCCGTGGTCGTGCCAGCCCGTGACGGCGTCCACCAGGCGCGACGGGTCGAGGCGGCGCACCACGTCCGTCAGCCGCTCCTCCGGGTACGGCGGGCCGCGGAGCTGGCCCCAGCCCTCGTTGTAAATGACCCAGACCACGAGCGAGGGGTAGCTCTTGTGCTCGTGGACGAGCACCTCGAGCTGGCGCTGGAACTCGGCCTGCTGCGCCGGGCTGGGCGGGCGGTTGCCGTCGGCCGGCAGCGAGGGCATGTCCTGGATGACGAGGAGGCCCATCTCGTCGCAGGCGCGGTAGAACAGGTCCGGCTCGACCTTGATCTGGGGGGCGGCGTCAGCGCGGTCATCAGAGAGAGAGAGGGAGAGAAACATACGTGCTTGCGCACCATGTTGAAGCCCAGGCGCTTCAGCATGCGCAGGTCGTACACCATGGCCTCGCGGCTGGGCGGCGTGTACAGCCCGTCGGGCCAGAAGCCCTGGTCCAGGGTGCCGAAGAGGAAGACGAACTCGCCGTTGAGCAGGGGCCGCTGCACGCCGTCGACGAGGCCGGCCGAGACGGTGCGGAACCCCGTGTAGCTGTGCACGCGGTCGTCGCCCAGCGTCAGCGTCAGGTTGTACAGCGTGGGCGAGGCCGGCGACCACAGCCGCGGCGACGCCACGCGGAAGGCGAACTCGGCGTCCGACGGGCCCGACGCCTGCCCCACCGTGCGGCCCTCGCCGTCCACCACGGCGATTGTCACCTCGGCGCCCTGCTGCTTGCCCGACGTGTGCGCCGTCACCTTGACTGCGGGGGGTCAGCAACACTCAGGAAAAAAAAAAAAAGACACCAGACGCGACATACCTTCTCCGTCCATGCCGGCCGCCACGTCGAGCTGCGTAATGTGGTTGGCGGGCGCGCGCTCCAGCCACACCGTCTGCCAGATGCCCGAGCACGAGCGGTAAAAGATGTGGCTCGGGTTGCGCGTCTGCTTGCCGACGGGGATGACCTCGGCGTCGGTGGGGTCGTGCACAAAGACGAAGCTGCACCAGGGAGCGTCAGGGGGGCGGGTTCGTTAAAAGTCCAGGCTCAAACTCACAGCTCATTGTCCGCTCCCCAGCGCACGTGCTCGGTGACGTCGACGGTGAAGCGGAAATACCCGCCGACGTTGTGGCCGGCGCGGGCGCCGTTGACAAAGACGGTGGCCTCGTAGTCGACGGCCTCAAAGTTGAGCAGGACGCGGGCGCCGCGCCAGTCGTCGGGCACGGGGAACGCGCGGCCGAACCACATGTGCGTCGAGTTGAGGCTCTGGATGCCCGAGAGGCCGCTCTCGACGCACGACGGCACCAGGACCTCGCGCGGGAGCGGCGCCGTGGGCGGGCGGTCGGGGCTCGCGTCGGAGGCGGCGGCGTCGCCAAAGGTCCAGAGGCCGTTGAGGCTGCGCCAGTCGTCGCGCCGGAGCTGCGGCCGGGGGTGCTCGGGCCACGGGTTCGTGCCGACGGCGTAGGTCCAGTCCGTGTCGAGCGGCGGCGTCTGCACCTTGTACGGCGTCGCGGTGCCCTGCACGCCGCCCCCGGTCCCCGCGA